ATTTAGCGTAGATTTACGTATCTATTTTAATAGACGACCCACTTCAACAACAAAGTCAATAACACATCGCACTTGCCTCTGCCTTTTCCGGCTTCTTGCTCCCGTCTTTGTCTGCCTGAAGGGCAGACCACGACCCTCTACGGAGTGTGCACAACAAAGCAAGTCAGACAGATAAATGTGATACTAGTAAGAATTATCTGGTTGAATTGATAACCCACGCAACAAGGGCTTAATAATACCGGAAGGAGAAAATGGCGGTTTCCGGATAAATGCTGACCAATCATAGATGCGGCATTTGTCGCACTGTGGCTTCGATTGGCAACCGGGAGAGGATGGAGCTACCCGCGACCTTCCGAGCATTTCTCGTCGACCATGGTATTGAACAGCGCGTCTACGACGTTAGCTTGACCTCGCTTCCACGATACTTTCGGTACTACAGGTAGCCGGCAAAAGCGCGGTCCCCAACGTTCTTGTAGGATCAAGGACAGCTCCGTGACGGTCGAGCAGCTCCAGGCCGAGTTTCCCGACGTGCAGCCCATTCCCTGGTTGAAGTCGTTTTACGCTGTTTCATCGCTTGACGCGCTCTCGTCAAGCAGCTTGTATTCATCGGCAAAGATCTATGGCATGGAAGCCAGCTCTGGCTTTGCCGTCGCGACGTTGAACCCGCAACCAGGTCCGCGCTTCTTTCGCCTCGTACCCTTTCTCAATTCTGTGCACAATGCCTTAGGCGACCACGTTCTGGATCTATGTTGCGCACCTGGCGCTAAATTAGCCATGCTGGCTGATGTCTTGGGCCGTCGCGGCAGTGTCACTGGCGTACGATGCAAATGAGGTTATATCCTTTGCGGTGCCCAACACAATTCAACGTTAGGTCGACTACTCCAAGAATCGTATCTCGGCCTGTCGATCGCTCTTGCACAAGTACGATCTCGTGCAGTCGTTGCCGGACACACCATGGCGCTGCCGCCTCTTTCATGCCGACGGCCGACGCTTTGCCGAGGGCGCTCCGACATCCAGCGACCCAAGCGCCGCTGTCCACGACAGTATACTGGACGTCATTTTGGACTCAGCCGAAGTCGAAAATCGCTCCAAAAAATCCATTGCACGCAAGCGTATGAACAAAAGGTGTTTTCTTTCCAACTGCGCTCGATCTTATTTCTGCCAAACTAGCGCCCGTGCCCGCGCCCTCAAAGTGCAGCGCGAGGCTACAAGTGCAGCGACTGCGTCTTGTCTTTACGACAAGGTGCTTGTTGACGCAGAGTGCACTCACGACGGGTCTCTTCGACACTTGGCCAAGCTCACGACGGCCGACGCATGGCAGTCGTACCTCGAAAACTACCTTTCGCCGTCGCATGTTGCGGGGATTCTGGCGCTCCAGCACGACCTCATTCGCAATGGGTTTCGACTCCTCGTACCCGGTGGCCGCATGGTCTACAGCACGTGCAGCTTGTCGCTCAAGCAAAACGAAGAGATCGTCGCAACCTTCCTAAAGGATACTCCAAGTGCCTCCTTAGTGCCCATTGATATGACCAATGTGCCGTGCCAGGTACGAACTCCGACATATCTTGTACGATGGTTGCGCTCACAAAACTCGATCAATAGCCTGGAAGCATACCGCATACGGTGCGCTTTACGCCGCTTCACGACATGGGCGGCCTCTTCATTGCGCTCTTTACAAAGGCCACGGACGAGGCAAGTATGCCAGCCAAGCGGCAAAAAACGGAATAAAGCGATAATCATCATGATTCTGGCCCAGCGTCCCATGGCGAGCGCATCACTGCTGACGACTCGGTCGCATACAGCCGCGACCATGGAAGCTTTCGAATAAGCGACTTGTGGCGGCTTCTTTGCCGGGTCTTGGTTTGCTTGGTTAGGCGCGTTGGATGCGCATTCGCAGATGGAGGGTCCTTCCACTCGGGAATTACCAGCTCGGGGTACCGAAGAGCGCTGGGCTCGGGCTCGGCGACCGTCTCGGGCAGCGGTGCTTCTACTACTGGTTCTGGTTCGCTTTTTTGTGCAAGGATCGACGTCAGCATGGAAAAGTCGTCAACCATTGGTCTCTCCATTCGAGTGCAACTACAGACACGTAGAATGAGGCGACCAAAATAAAATGCAGTGCATTCGAACAGCGTTTCGATATCAGCATCGTTGCGCGGAGGCTTCATCGGACTTTTGGGCGGACTTGGCTTTCTCTTTCCGACAGCATCCCGCGTTTCAATGTGCACTTGCCAGATGGGTTGCCACGGCAGATCCGTTGCGAGAAGTTGCTTGGGTAGCACCATTGGCGCGGCGTGCTTCCGGTGTCGCGGGCTACAGACGCGTGGCGGGAAGCGAAGCAGCTTGTCTTGAACGAGGCTACGCTGCATGTCGCTGACTTCGTCAGCTACGCATGGAATTCTTTCCATTTTTCATTCAGCAAGATGAAGACGTACGACTCTCGAACGCTTTTGTAGGGCTAGCGACGTAGCGCTGCAGAGTCGCATTGTGCTTCTCTTGAAGCGCCACCTTGACGTGTAAACCATCCACAAGGTCCTACACATACCAGCATGCCGTGACGCGGTGCCACCTCCTCAACGGCTTTACTCCAAGGTACATGGCTGTAGATTGATACTCTTCGGCGCCAAACACACCATGTTCGAGCTCCAACTCGGCGTCAGGGGCCCGCGCTAGCTGCTTGAACAGCTCGTCGTCGCTGTACACAACGTCGAACTGTCCCTTGAGATTCTGGAGTGTGTGCAATCGTGCTTCCTTCTCGGTCGTACGCGCACGCAGCTCTGCAAGCGTCGGCTGCGTCGTTGCCATGTGCGCAAAGTACGAGCGCAGAGCCACGGCTTCGTGGTTTACATCGCGGTTCGCTTCTGTACGAAAACAATTCAACCCCTGGAATCGCGCGTCGCGTACCTCGCTGCTTTGGTCGGTCGCTGGCCGTACGGGGCCGTTGGGGCGCTGTATGGGCGCGTGTCGTTGTCTCTTGAACGTGATCGCGACGAGCGTCGGCGAGCTTGGCTTGCGCTTCTTGGCTACTGTGTAGCCGGCTCGAATATATCTACGCCACGACGACGCGCGTATCACACAGTGCATGTCGTTCTTACTTTGGACCGTAGAGAGGACGATGGGCGCGCGCGAACGTCGATTTGGGTCCCTTCAAAGATGTCGGGCAGCGGGCCGGTCGCCATACTTACGTCGCGCATCCGTTGTCCCGCGACTGTTTCACTCGCGACGATCGACGCTTCGGTTGTAGCTGCAGCCGATGCCGGGCGCTGGACGACGGTGACCGACATGGATGGTCGGGGCGCTGTGCCGCCATACGACAGCAAAAACTAGGCACAAAATGACCACACATTTGCACAACAATAAGATGCACAAACCCGAAGCTCGATCGTACTAAAGAGGACCGCGTAAAACAATCCCGTCATTGGCGCCGAAGAGAGGGCATACGTGCGTTCGTTGCCATGCAATATGGCGTGGCTCTGATATCGGTACGACGCAGCACCCGTCACGTCGTGCTTGACGAGGTACATGCACCCAAAGACGGCACTTGGTTTTGCCGATGTTGGCTCAACCGAAAGCGACACCTGTGCCGGGTTTGGCTGCTCGTGGGTAAAGGCGAAGACGCGAACACGCTTGGCTGCGACGGACCCATAAAAGTCGGTTTTAAACTCGAGCGCTGCCGGCTCTAGCAGCACGCACGTGACCTACATGGATCATGCATGGTGTGTATTGACGAGAGACTGCGTACATGGTACGTCGTCTCGGCCGAGCTAGAGGTTGTCGGCAGCACGCGCACACGCAGTGTCTCAAACTGAAGCGATGTGATGTCGGCTTCACTGGGCTTGTACAAGACGAGCGCCGCGGGCACGTTCTCAACTTGCCACACTGCATCCTGCGAAGCCGCTCTCGAGTCGACAGCGCGCACAACAAGGTCCAAGCGTCTACGACGATATTGCTGGTGTCGAGATGACAGTTTGATATGCGCGTACGATGCCATGTCGAGCGCGAGGCAAAGCACAATGAGGGGCACTTTTGTCGGAAAGAGCTAGGAAAAATTGGGAATTTGGTTAGATTCTATGGATGTATCGTACTGCAATGTGGTGGGATGGAGCACTGCCCAGCGCATTGGGTGCAACCGAGTGGGTGTAGGTCTTGCCGTGGTCGACGAGAACGACGTTTGGGTCGAGTGCTCTTGTCTCGTCCGGGGCCGAAAGCTCTGAGTAGTGCAGTTTTGGGATTTCGGCAAATTCGTGCGCGAGGCGAAACCTAGCCACTCACTGAAACACCTTTCGTACGAAGCCACATACTTGATTTTTGCTTCTTGGAGAAAGAGAAATATAGTGTCGAGCGCGCCAGCCTACGACAGATAGATGCCAATCAAGCACTCGATTTACATTGCGTGTCGTGTACCGTGCACGCGGTAGCCAAATCCAAAAGCGAAATAGTAAATAGATGAATGTCCATGAGGGTTGGCATTGGAGTCGTTGCCCTAACCATAGCATGCAGCGACTCGTTTTCACGTAAAATGATAGGTCGTACGAAGCACCCACGAGCAAGTCGATGGCCCAATCGTTCTGCAATGTCGTTTAACAAGGTATTCCATAGGTAGATGCATGAACGAGAAACCTCGACGAGGTGCAGCACTTCGGGAAAACCGATGTCGGGAAGCAGACCTCGAAAGAGCTTGGCACTGAAGCGAATGTAGTCGTCCTTCGTAATGGGAATCTAAACAAGTGATTTAGACGACTTCGTCAACGTTTCTGCGCTTACATTATGATTGCGCTTGAAGAGAATCGGGTTGAAGTGGGCAAGAGGCCACCACTCGCAACGGATGTACTCTAGGATGTTGGGATCGACGTAGGCCTCGGCGAACGACGAGATCTTTTTGCTTGGAGATGCCATGACCTTGGGTTTTGGTTCCTATTCACTTCGTTGATTAGTCAAATCCCACCGACAGCGTCATTACAATCACGTGTAATGGCAGTGGGTCTTTCCGAGCGTAGCGACTCGCAAGTAGGTAGTACCCACGCGGGTTCCTGATGCTTTTCACACCCCGCTTTGCGCGCCGGCGAAGCACGCTTGCGTATATGGCTTCAAGCTCCTTGAAGTCGTAACCATGAAAGTTCCAGTCATCACTGGTGAGGTCGGCTCGAAAGGCGCGAACCTCGGTCATGCCGTCTCGTGCTTGCATTTGTTTTCGCGCTGTGCCGTGTCGGTTTCACCTCGTTTCCCGCCCATTGGCGACCTTTTCCTGTGGCAATGAATGCACCTGTGTGCTTTGCAATGCGCCTATTACTCCACGCAGAGGCTAGTTGAGCAATCCGAGCATGCAAACAAGGTCACGCTTTTCTGGTAGGCCGTGAAACAAACCAGAATATTTCCAAAAAGCGAGAGTTTGCAACCATACTCTTTCAATCGAGCTTGCATGCTGTTTGCTAGTATTGTGGGTGTTGCATGCGTGTTGCATGCGTGGAGTCGCGAACGAAAGTTCCACATTCGCTGCTCAGAGCTTCGATTTCGGATAAATACGAATCTCACGAAACATAGAACGACCAGCTGAGTAATCAAACGCCGATCCACGGGACGACAAGAATAACAGAAGAGGCACCTCACGAATCAAAACCGCTTTCATGAAGCCGTTCCTTCCTGCGCTTCAACTTCACCATTCGGCCTAATTTCATTGGCCAGTGTAAGCGGGACGCGATCCGTGGGTGCCACGTCACGAAAATGTCGCACTTTTCGATGGTTTCACTTTTTCCTAACGTTAAAAGCAGGATAGCGCAGCACCACGAAAACATAATTGAAGTTGACGGCAACAGCACACCATGGACGCCCCCGAAGTCGACGTCCGCTGCATCGCCGAAGGAAGCAGCTCCGATGCATCGAGCCCGACGAACGATGGTCCCCGTGACTCGCTGGTAGTCCGGCGCCTCTATCGCGTCACCTACTCGGACGACTCGCTGAAGGAGCGCTTTGACCAAATCGTGCGCACGACGCTACGCTTGGCCAACGCCACGGACACGAGTAACAACGTTCTCTTGGCGCAAAAAGCCATCAAGTACCGACGGCGACACAGCGACTCGATCAATTACGACGACCCAAGCGCGGACGTATTCGAGAGCCTAGGTATTAAGTGGTGCAAAACGCCGTAGTCGCCGACTTTCCTAGATTTGTGTATCATATTCGTGCAAATGAACGTTGTTTGTGGGGTCCCGAGTTGAATTGAAGCTGCTTCAACGAACTACAAGCCCGTTTGGCTCGACTCGCTTTTCTTGCTCGGTGCTAAAGAGTACCCAAGGCCATATGACCCAAGGCAGCCGACTCGAGGCATCGAACACAAGCAGCCCTTTCGGATGTGTTTGCGCCAATAGCTTGCGTCGAGGACGAAGGCGTTGACATTTGCTTGGCCAACCATGGGCGATACACGCTAAATTGCACCACTGAGACACACGGAGTCATTGGCGCCAATTTTGCGACAAGAACACGCGCCATCGTCAGTGCGGGACGACGCACCTCGTATCATCGCCGCGTCGGGCCTGCGATGCCGCTGCGGCACAGCGCAGCTTCATGCTGCTCTCCAGCGACATGCCATGCGTAGCTTTGCACGGCACTCCAGCGACACACCGTCCTTTGCTGTCTCTCCAGCGACTGCCCCGAGCTGTGAGTCTTCTTTCAAGACACACGACAATTCGACTCGCCACATCTCGAGCGCGCTTCACCAACAACCTCCGCGCATCAATATGAGCGAGCGTAAGCCTCGGTATCGCTTCTACTATCGAGACGATGCAACAAAAGATCGATGCGATGCGTGCCTCCGCGCCATGCTTCATTTCGCGCAACAACCAAGCGCGTCGAGCATCAACGCGGATCTTGCGCAACGCGCACTTCGCTTTCGCCAGCACTCCCTTGGGCGCCTCGAGATTGACGACCCTACTCAAGATGCCTTTGAACGACTTGGTGTCGTCTGGCACAAGCTGCACCCAACCTCGCAATGAGTGATTCTGCAGTCGCCTCGCACGATTCGTCTACACCGAGGTGACGTTGCCTTAACATAATTCGAGAATCATCCCGTTAACGATAACCACATCTGTGCCTTGACCAAAAGTACAAATTGTAGAGCCGAGAAGCGAAAGCGAGTTTGCGCCTGTTATCGGATGCCATAAAATAAGAATGCCATTTCGCGTCTTAAGAGCATCTCCACCGGTTCCCCGTATCCCACACTGGCTCTGGGTTTTTTTACCGGGCGATTTCGCGATACAGAGCAAGATAAAACAAAACGCCCCACCGGTTGCCCTGTAAAAAGATGCCGGGAGTCGCAATTTGTATGGCGTCGATAACTTCGAACTTCGTCTTAAAATTCGATTTTGTATTCATTTTTTGACTAGTATACAAAACATGAGTCATTCGCGATTTTACCGGGTAAAAAGCCAGGGTGCCCGGGCGCCCTGTATCGGGCACCAGGATACAGGGCGCTCGGCCAATTTTTGCTCCACCCGGTAAAAATTATACAGATACAGGGCGATTTACAGGGACCGGTGGGGCATTTCCCCGGTAAATTTTTTACAAATTTGGAAATTTTACAGAGCCAGTGTAGGATAGCGCGGACGAGTGGAGAAGCTCTGAGAGCACGCAACGAACGTGGGCAGCGCAGTCGTCGCAATAAATGCGCAGTACCGGTATCTACATGAGATTTCCCATGACAAATTTTGGCGTTGCGGTGTTTGGTCTCTTTCCCTGGCCAGTGCCCACATCACAGGAACCTAAAGATGGCATCAAACTTCGCTATCGACTGACGAGCGAGCGGGCGAAGCTCACACACAATAAGCTATCTATCCTCGCGAGCCTCCGAAACAATGACGGCCCGCTTCATAGCTAACGTCAATGGCGTCCCGAGTCGATCGCTCGGGCTCTATCGATCTGCCCCGTGAGCACTTCCGCGATGCCGTTCCAGGGGGTTGCATGATGCATCACGAAATCAATAATGTGCACAGCAATCCCGATCGTGTACCGGTAGGTCTCTCCATGCATGTTGCTATTGCGCTGTGCAACGAGTCCTGGTCGGGCCATTTTCGCTCAGCCCTTGTAGCTACTGTCCAAACGACTCGAAGCGACGCATTTGACAATACACGGCGGGTCTCTCGCCCCTCGAGTTGCCGTACTCTACCATTTCCCACATTGTTCCGATTGTGCACATCAATCTTGTGGAACGCCCGTATAATTCGGCGTGCGGCGAGTTTTTACAAACGAGCATCCCATCTACATTGTGTGTTGTGTAGCAACACGCGCCGCATTTGATTGGTTACAACGTCAATCCACAGGAGCCAAACGTGTGATTGCCAGCTTGACTATTATCGACCTCGCTCATGATCTCCATTGAGCTCGACTCAATGTTGCTTGCGAACAAATCAATAAAATTGATGCCCACACTTCGGTAACGTCCACCAGCTTAAAAACAAGAACAACAGTAACATCAGAACAGCGTTTCAGCATTAAAATCCACGCATTTGATTGGCCCGCGCCTAAATTGGTGACCGATGGGCGCGCCACGTCATTGACCTCCTGGCAGCATCTCCGAGTGCGGAATGTTATCAACCACACCGCAATCAAGATACTAGAGTCTCGTGTCGTTGTACTTTTCATTTTGCCACGTGATCCGTCGACATGAGCTCCACTGAGGTTGTGGTCGCACAAGAGAGCCATGGGTGTGCGGCGCGGCGCCACTATCAACTTTCCTACTCGGACGACGCAGTCAAGCAGCGCTACGACCATATCGTGCGCACGACGCTCCGCCTCGCGAACTCCCCGGACGTCAACAGCAAGAACGTGCTCTTGGCCCAGAAGGCCATCAAATATAGACGTCACGAAAGCGACGCAATCAACTACGACGACCCGAGCACGGACGTCTTTGAGAGCCTCGGTATCACGTGGTGCAAAACACCATAGGCGAGAGTGATGTATGTACAGTTTGTCGTCGTTGTGTAAAGTTGTAGTCAATCTTTGTTTCGTAATGTGTGAATATTGCTAACCTTAAATGAATATAGTGTTGGGTTCTCAACACTGTCTGGTTGGGGCCATGTGAGCCCGAAAGACTGTGCGCAACACAGTGGCTCGCAGCCCATAGGACAACAAATAATGCGTTTTATGTCCTTACTTGGAGCCGAATTCTGCCTCCCACGCGTCAAACCGATGCAATTGGTCGGTACCGACCGACTTGGACACGTTTCCAAGTGCGACTTGAAAATCAGCCTACAGCATTTCTATTAGACATCCACGCTGCGCCACGGTCCGACCTTGGTGACAACGAGGGATTGCTCTTTGAGTTGGCGCAAATCACGTTCGGAACACGAGCTCGCTTGAATCTACGCATGCGTTTGCTTTCACCATCGTGCATGCCGATATCTCATACATCTTGGAGAAGCTGCGGCGTGTACACCCTCTTGACTGTCAACAGTTTGGCTACGCAACGACGTTTGTTCAACTCAATTGAGGAACAGTACAACAAAAACGTACCTGCTTCACAAATGTTGGTGATATCGTCGCCGCTGTAGCCCTACTCCGTGAATAGAATATTTTTCAAAAGACATTGCTCCGACGTACCTGCGTTTGGTTGGCGAGTTCATCGAGAACGACGTCACGCGCCAAGCTCATCTTGCGCAAGTTGAGCTGGAAGAGTTCCCGTCGACCGACAAGTTCCGGCAGCGGAATATCTTTTGGAAAACAAAGTCATCAACAATCACTTTTGAACACCGTCAACGTACACACGCGCTTTGTGAGGCGTCGGCGCATCGCTTCGTCCAGCTCCCACGGCAAGTTGGTCGCGGCGAGCACCATGACTTGCTTTGCGGCGTCGGTCGCGCCGTTCTCTTCGTTCAGAATGCCATTCATTTGCACAAGTAGCTCCGTCTTGACGCTACCACACCGAAAAGTGGCTTGACGTACATTGGTGCATGACCTACCGGCGGCTCGCTTCGTGCTCTTGAGCCGTGCCTCGCGCACCCGCAATCGCGTCGATCTCGTCCATAAAGATGATGGACGGTGCGTAGTAGCGCGCCATCTCAAAGAGAATGCGCACCATGCGCTCCGATTCGCCGCGGTATTTGCTCGAAAGCGTCGAAGCCGAGACATTGAAGAACGTTGTGTTGCAGACGTTGGCGACAGCCTATAGTACTCTTAGCCACGAGTTTGTATCGCAAAACTTACCTTGGCGAGGAGGGTTTTACCCGTGCCCGGCGGACCGAAAAGAAGAACACCATTACACGGCTTGAGCGGTCCATCCTCCTACGAAAACGTTCGATGCAATCTTTGGAGGGCGGAGCCTACGGTGAAGAGGTGGGGCGCGAACCGCGGCAGCATCACCGCCTCCTTGAGCAGATTCTTGACATGGTCGAGGCCTGCAATGTCTTCGAATTGGACTTTTGCGCCACGGTCGACGATATCGCGCTCGATAGCTTCGATCAGATCCAAGTCGACCCGCCGCTCTGCGCGCGCAATGTCCGAGTACTTGGGAAGGCCTTCGTCGGTGCTTGACTCGGTCGATGTCCGAGGTGACGCATACAGTGGCTTGGACGCAAGGGCCGAGGACGGGACGTTGCGGAGAAGACTTGACTGCGCGAGGCTCTCCATGTTTGGTGCCTCGTACGCCATCGCCCTTGCTCGGGAACTCATGGCACGCGTCGGTTCCTTGGGCTCGCCTACAATACCTATTGGCACCTTGATACGCTCCAAAGATTCGTACTCGTGCCACTGTATGAGATGCTGTTGCGCTTGAGGTATGGGTGTTTGCTCAGGGTCTTGGTCGAAGCGGTACTGTCCTTGACCCGTTTCCTCTTGGCGGGCAGCGCCCTTCGCTCCTTCTACATGCAGAAGCTTTCAATGGACTGCCTTGGGTGACGCCATTGCCGTACCTCGCTCGCCGCTGGGTTCTCCTTCTCGTCGGTACGGCGCTGTCGTTTCTGCACGACAAACTCGTCTTCGGTCGGCAGCCGCTTGAACGTCACGCTCGGACGTGGCTTGCGCGCTGGGACCTCGTCGAGGAGTGAGCGCTGCTTGGGCTTCTTGGGCTGGATTTGAATCTGCTGGAAAAGGTCCAGCGTTGTTGTGTAGCGGTGGATGACGGCGTACTCGGCCTTGAGGCTCTCGACCAAGGCGTGCAGCGCGCGGTCGTCTCGGCTCAACCGGCGGGTGAAGATGGCGTCGCGGATGCAGGCGCGGAAGATCTTACTCCCTTCGTCGTAAAGCCCGAGGAGGCAGCGCTCCCGGGCCATGGCCGCTTGCCGCACGAGGTCGTCCATGCCACGCCCAGAGTCAACCTTTCGGTCGCGGGTCGACTATCCGGATGGTTTCCGGATATGCGATTCAGATCGCCTTTGGCGCGCAGATACAATTTGAATGGTTCAACCACACGCCACTTATGATGGTGGGCCCATATACAGAACTTCGCAGCATTGGAGCTGTCCAGTCACGTGATGGATGCTCGCTCGTATATATTGAATAAAAGGATTGTTGGCCGATCGACGCAGCAGTTGGGCTATGGATATACAACACACGGTGTGTGCGAACTCAAGCGATTTGAGAATCTGGATCAGCTTGCGTTTGCTAGATTGCTTGGACCCAACGGGACACGCGGCACGAAAATACATGTCAAGAACCTTGCTGTACAGCAACGCTAGGGCGTCAGCGAGCAGTAAGTGCCATCGAAAGATTCTATCAACACTCGTGTGAGCCAGTGGCTCGTCTTTTGTCTCACGAAGTCTTCCATTTGGTCGCTTGTCCGCCTCATTCGAGACCCTCGTTGCAACATCTATCTCGCACGTTATTTTTAGACTTAGCTCGCATTCGCAATTTGTTGAGACCGACAACTCGTGGAGAATGCGCTGATGGCCAGCATCCGATACGTTTTCATGTATTTTCATTGGTTCTTTTTCTACGATATTTTTGGCCAATCAGAGGCATTAATAGACGCAGCACTGGAATATCAAGCCCTCTGTCGGCCACGCGGCGTCCGAAAGAAAACTTGCTCAAAGTCAACTCGATGGTTGGAGGGACGTCCAAGAGCGCAATACACTATATCTCGCCGGCGGGCGATGTGTACAACGCGCGCTATAGACGAAACGCTTAATTATGGCAGGACCACATTTACCACATATTACGACGCTAATTGTGCCTTCATACTTGCTGAGCAAAATGCAAGCACCATCATCAATCAACACTGTTGCACGCTTTACCGGTACAATTGCAGCAGAAAACCCTTAGAAAGAAGCTACACTCAAGGCTCGCAGCATCGCAGCATTCGTTACGCTCTAGTCTACGACTGTTTGCACATTTCGTCTTGAGTGGACCGAGGATTGCCCTGTGCCGTGTTGAGTCGCGGAACGGGGCCGTCGAGGTTGAGCTTGGGCTCGAGAAGCGCGAGCTGGTCTTCACATTGCTTGACAAGCACGTTGACTTCGTCGAGCTGGTGCTGCACGACGCTCTTCTTGCTATCGTAGGCCTTCTTGAGCATAAAGATGTCTTGCTTGGCCTGCGTCTTGAGGTCGGCCATATCCTTCTTGTGCGCTGCTTTCGTGTCTTCCATTTGGCGCGCGCAGCCCGTCTCGAGGTCAAAGAGCGACTGCAGATGCGCCGTCTTCTTGGTGTTCAGCGACCGCTCGAGCTCTGCGACCTTGGCCAGTGCACTGCGCTGCTCGCTGTACAGACTTTTTTGCTGGCTATGGAGCGACGTCTCAATGTTGAGGATGTCCATGGCCGCGCCGTGCACCAGCGTCTCGCGCTTTTGCCGCTCGAGAAGCGCTTGCTCTTCGATCTTGAGCGTCTTGGCCTTGATGCGCTCGATCTCGCGCTCCGTGGACGCGACGCGGGCTTCGTGCTTGCTCGTGACACCTTGGAGGTCGAGAAGAAGCCGCTCCAAGTCCATGCTAACCGAGGCACGATCATGAATACTCTACAAAGCTCCTTTTGCAGAAACAAGTACCGCTTGTCTTCAAGCTCGGCCGTCAGCGTCGACTTGAGCGACGAGAGTTCGTCCGTGCGCGCAGAAAGCTCGCGCTCAAACTCCTTTCGGCGATCGCTTGTGTCTGTCAGCGCGTCTGCGGCTGTGAGCTCGGCCAGTTCCTGCTCCAATGCCACTTTTTCCTCCTACAGCAAAGTAGCCATCATGAGAGCAGCCTGCAATGCAGATAGCGCGTACGTTGGCGGTAGCCATGTGCTTCTCAAAGAGCCCGAGCACTTGCTTGCCCCACTCGACGACCGACCCGAGGATGTGGTCGCTTAAGTACACTTGCAGCGATGGGTACATGGCGACACCGAGGCCGGCTTCCGGGTCGTATGCCGAGTTGGACGACCCTTGGTGGTTGCGCGCGGTCGCGCCGGCCTTGTACTCGGCCAATGCACGCTGGAGGTTGCTCTTAAATCCCAAAAGGGTCGCTTGGAGACCATCTGGAAACTCGTCGCGTGGTCGCTGCGCCAGCTCTGCCGTCGTCTCGGTAAGCGAGAGCGGGTGCAACGTGGCCAAGAGCGTCGTGCACGCCTCCTGCGAGAGCTCCAAGGCGGACGCACGGGCCTCAGCGTACGCAGCATCGAGGGCCGCATGGAGCGTGGCGATTTGGTCTTGGAGCAGCGTTTGAGCCGCAGCGTTGGTCACAGGGATCTGCTGCGATAGCGTGTAAACCTCGACAGACGCGGCACGGAGGCTCTGGAGGTGGGCCAAAAGAAGCAGTCGCGACGACGGGATCGTAGCCGAGTCTTCGGCGGCGAGCGGCACGAGCGACGCGAACGTCCGCGTATACTGCTCGGTGGCGCGTGCGATGCCTTGCTACCAGCACAAGAGGAGATGGAGGTTGTCGAACGCGATGCATTGTGTACCTCACACGTCACGCGAAGCATCTTGGTTGCTGCGTGCTGCAAAATCGGCAGCTGGTTCGTGTTGAGCGACTCGACAAAGTACTCGACGAGAATCCGAAACTGGGCAGGCGTGATCGCGTTGCCCGCGACATGCTTGGCCGGCACCGTGTCTTCGCCGGCGTCGCCAGAGAGGTACCGTGAATGCACCTTGTCGGCGGCGGCGACGTAGTCGGACCGAAGGACGTCGCGCGACAGATCGTACGCGAGCTCGATGCCGGCGTTGGCTTCGACTGCACGGCTGATCATCATGCAGTCGCGCGTGGGGAAGAAGGTCGTAAAATACGTCTTGAACGCGTTGCTCTGCATCACGCCTTCGCTAAAGCCCGACTCGAGCGCAAAGAGCCCGTCAAAGTACTCCATGGGCGTCTTCTTCGTGGCGGACCCAGGGTTGGCGAGCCACTTGACCTTGGAGTTGCGCGCGACCCACACAAAGCGCGGCAGGACGCTCGCCAGGTCCTTCATGACGCCGGCCTCGTCCTGGTTTGACCGCAACTTGAATAGCGTCGGGAGATCTGCGATCCAGCGCAATTTGTCAAAGCTGAGTTCACTGTCCTGGCTGTACAAAAGAACTGACGAGAGGAGCACCAGGAGCAAACGACCGAGGTGCTCGTTCTTGGAGGCGAGTACGACGACGTTGGACGCTTCCTCGGCATGCATCCAAAGCAGCGGCTGCTTCTCGTCATCACCAGCGTCGAGCGTTGGAAGGCTCGGCGCCATGGTGTGCAGCAGCAGCTGATGCTCCTTGGTCGCCGCGAAGGTCGCGTCCGCGGGCGCGTCACCGTTCATCAGGCCAACAACGCGGACACGCCCAGCCGCAGCGTGCGCAAGGTACACGTCCATGGCGCCATCGTCGACCTCGAGACGCTCGTCCGCGTGCTTCCAGACAAGGACCTGCATCACACTCCGCTCGTCTTCGGCGGTCGCAGGTTTGTTTCTGACTTTGGCCTCACGCTCATTGGTCGAAATTGCAATTGGTTGTATCGCGCAGCGTGATTGGCCGGGTGTTTAACCTACTAAAACGCATTCGTGGTTTGGGATGATGCGAGGTGCCCAGCACAGGTTGCTGGCCCGCACCACAGTCGCAGATTGCGACGTGGGTGCTCACAATCCAAACAATGTCTACCGTACCTACCCCCCAACGAGCCTTTTCCCAAGGCTGCTGAAAAAGCTGCAAGCCTTGCTTCAACACACGATTGATCGCAAAGTGCAATGTCCACACTGCGCTGAATGCCAAGATAAGGAAGGGTGTACGTCTGCTTAACAGCAATACTGTATAGCGCTTGCAGCCAAGTCGCACTCACACGTGTAGCGGCTGCTGTCCATCTGTGGCGTGGTCGAACGTCGTCGGTTCAGCGAGGCTCACAACGGCTCTGTTGCTGAACGCACCGCACTGGCGCGGTCGAAGTTGACGTTGCAACTTCGAGCGGCGGAAAATCGCCACGTCGGGCTCGAGACTGATTTTTGCCTTGTGCACCGCGGGCGCGAAAACGTGGCTGTGCGTTTCGAGGTAGCATCAAATCTCTTTAAGCCGCCTCGATGAAAGAGTATGACATACCGTTAACATGTGAGGTTTCTCTCTTTCAGCCCCATGCATTCGCGATGTGACGGGGATGGAATCGTCCAGAGCCTGCCATTCCCAGCTTACCTATGTAGTCGCACGACTGGTAAATGTCGGTCGGATAATAGATCTAGATACGTTTCCAAGCTTTGTTTGTGTGAAGGGATCGTCGCGATGAAGGGCAACATCTTGGATACACGTGTTTCACATCTTCGTGGCACTGGTGTCGATATGATGCTGGCCGTATCCACGACCACCGTCGTTGGTCTAGACTAGCGACCGAGCGTGCTGGGCCCAAGGCTCGAAGGGGCTGCGTCACGGACTAATGATACACTAACGCACGCATGCTCTGCGCAAAGCGCTTGCCGTCAACACGCGCTGCAAAAATGCCGCAAATCTGATAGGTAAGTACTGTAGACCCGAATCCTCCTTGCAATTCTCGAAGTTCGAAGCCGCGAGGTCCAAACGGCGCAGTTTTCTGAACACAATCGAATCCTCCGCCATGGTGGCGCATGGGTTCCGCTTCATGCTCGGGCGCGTCGCGGGCCCGAAGAAGGCCAAGGGCCGCCAGAAGAAAGGCAGTCGCCACGCAGGCCTATTTACCTGCCTCCAGACCCCGTCGTCCGTCTCACACGCGTTCATCGAGATCGCGACCGGCGTGATCCAGCAGCAACATGATGCCGACATTCGGCTGCGCGCTAGCAGCGCCAGCAGCAGTAACAACAACAGCAACAACAAGAGTCCGAGTAGCAACGACGGTAGCGACAAGGCGCCAACGTACCCGCTTCTTCAGCCCGACGTCCTTGACAGTCTCGAGTGCGCGCTCTTCATGGACGTCGAGGCCACGTCCGCCACAGCAGCCAAACATCCGCGAGCAACGATTGGCGAGCTCTCCAAGCTGCTTTTGCAGCTCTGGGACATCCTCCTCGCGTCCTGCATTCCGTGGTCGACTGCGGCGCTCCAAGAAACCATCGGCTTCAACGACCAGCTCAAGCGGCAGAAGGCCGAGTCGCTCATGTTCAAGCTCATGGAGCGGCGCGAGTTTGCCAAAGTCTACGAAGCGTACGTGGCCGTGACGGAGGACACGATCGAGCGCTGGAGCAAGGCCGACGTGTCGAGCCAGCGGTCACACCCACCATTCCGCAAGTCGTCGACGTGGGTCTCCAAGCGCCGCCAGACGTCGTCGGACCCTGACGTCGACGCTGTCTACGCATATGAAGCCCCGCCACTCGCGAAAGACCCGGTGCAGCTTCTCGAGCGGTACATAAATCTCTCGACGCGCACGCTGGTGTACGCAGCGGCGCTGGTCCAAGTGCACCGGCCTTTCTTTGTCGACGTGCTGGCCGTGCTCTACTGCCGACTCCCGTCGCTACAGAGGCTCGTGCTCGACCTCTTTGACCGCTTTGGCTTTAGCGGGACGCCACCACGCAAGCCTCGATTTTTGGCACGGGCCAAAAGCTTTTTCCAGGAAGACAACTCGGCGTTCTACGGCTGGGACCGGTTCCTCGACGATGTCGCGCTCGAGACCATTGAAACACACGCGCTAGCTGCGCTCGACGTTATCCTCGAGACTCCGCCAGAGGACGCATCTGCGCCGTACTCGGAGTCGGACATCTTTATGGACGACCACGCGAGGTCGTTTGACGGCGAGGACAGAAGCGACGGCGACAACAATTGCATTGACTCGAGTCTGTGCCTCGACCTCTTTCTGAGTCTTTGGATGGCAACGACCGAGCACATTCAGCGCACGAGTCGAGGGCACATTCCGTGGGCCGACGTTCCTCCGTTCGCGGCGCTCCAGCGCCGCGCGGCCAACCTCTTTGAAAAGAGCTTTGCGTACCAAACGTTCGACTGCGACGAAGACACGAACGGGCTCCGCTTCCACTTGATTTCGACGCGCAAGGCCAAGCTCGATCGGCGACTGCCCTTTGACGTCAAGCACCCACGTGTCGTCTTCTCCACGATCGAAGCCATCGTCATGCTCACGCAGCAGTCATTCGCACCGTATATGGCCGCCATGTACGAGCACTTGAACTGCTTCTACGTCCGGTCGGCGGTCCCGAGCCTCGCGCTCCTCGAGCAGTGGATCACGCACGCGCCAAGTAGGTGGATCGCAAAAGACGATCGTATTCTTATCTGCGTCCTTAGCGGCTTGCATCGACAATGACGCGACCCAAGCCCTCTTGCGCAAGTTCATCGTCACGCTTCTTTCGTCCGACCGCATGGATCGACTCAAGGCCATCCAAGTAGGCGTCCTTGCGTTGTACGCCGAGTCTGTACAGCGACGCTAGGTCTTTCTCCTGCACTGCATTGGCCACTTTGCCGTTCCGCTCCAAAAGCACGTATTGAGTTTGCTCGTCGACGCGTTCCCGAGGCTCTTTGGTCACTGGTCCCGCGACGTCCGGTTCTGCTACCATCTCTTGCTCATCTACATCTTTGGCGACCGGCGGCAGCTCGGCGCGCACTCGGACAGTATCCTCCTCGGGCTCGACGAGAGCGGCAGCACGCACGTCGAGTATGAACCGTTTGACCATCTTCTCCTCGAGACGCTGCGCGCGAGCAAGGCGCCACCGCTCGCGTACGAGCGCGCGTCGTTCACCGAGTACATTGCGCAGCTCGAGATGTACTACAGCATTGCCGCGACGCTGCCAAAGGACGAAGCAGTCGCGATTCCACGCATTCGAATCCAACAGGCGCACCGTGGGTAGGGTATAGTTAGTCCTTGTACGATTGTAGTACACACATTAGTCATTGCCGTTGGCGGTTGGGCGTCATCGCAGAGGCGAAGCGCGAATCGAGCCGGTGCACAAGCATTGCATGCTGCAAGTGGCGCCAGCGGCAGGCTCGAGGAGACTACGCGCCGCCGTCAACGTCGTCGTCCATCGTAAGCTCCCTTGGAGCTCCATGCAGTGGCACTCTGCCTGCTACAGCTCTGCGCCGAGCTGCACGTCGAGTCTGACTCGGCCGTCGATTGGCCAGGGCGCGAAAATCAATGAATTATAGCCAATGGCCTTGGCCGTCGGATGTTGGGTATAGTCGAGGTGGATCTTCTTCGCGTGATAGTTCATCGTTGCGCCCATGACACGCGCGTCAGTAGGCGACATGCAGCACATCCGCCGCCCCGACGTCGTCATGAGCGAGCTTGAGTACCTCCCGCAGCTCTCGCCGTCGGTCCAGCTCCTCTGCATCGGCCTCTACCTCGGCGTCGGCGTCGTCGCCTTCACGCGCAGCTTCCAGATGCGCCCGCGCTTGCTCACGCGGCAAAAGGTCTTCCAGTACCTCGTGACGACCTTCTGCTGCCTCCGATCGCTCTCGCTTCTCACGGCGCCGCCGGCAGGCGTCCGCGACGTACTCAACCGCACCGCGCTCTGCCTCTTCTTCTCGCTCATGCTCTTCCAAGTCTTCTTTTGGTTTGACGTCGTGAACCCGTCGTCGTCGGCGCGCTCCAAGCGCGTATGGCACTCGTTCCTGTACATCAACGTGGCGCTCTACGCTGTCGTACTGTGCCTCGAGCTCGACGTCTTCTTCACGCCGACGTCCAGCAACAAAGACGTGGCCGCGAGCTACTGGTCCGATATGCTTCCCGTGCTGCTCGTCGTCATGGGCAGTCTCCTCCTCTGTATTGGCCTTCTCTTCTCGATCTGCAAGATGCGCATGCGCGTCCAGCGGCTCATTGACGAAGATGACACGAGCTTGAGCGTCCACGCGGTCCAGAAGATCCACCGCGCGCTGTGCTACCTCAACTGCATCTTTGCCGGCTCGTCCGTCCTCTTCTTGCTCCGCGCGTTCCTGTACCTTCAGCACCCGTGGGCCCACAAGGAGTGCGGCTCGATTCAGGACCCGAACTGGTGCCTTGGCGTCGGGTACGTTCTTCCGGAGCTCATACCGGCCGTCTTCTTTGTCATTGTCATGTGGGACGTGGACCCGAATTTGTGGCGGTCAAACATGTCGACGGGCGAGACGACGCCGCTCCTGGGGAAGCACCTTGGCATCACGAGTGGGTTTGGAAAGGACTTTCGATGGCACCGCCCGAGCCCGCTCTTGCTTGCGTCGACGCCAACGCAAGAGGCGGCGCCGTACCTCAGCATACAGCCCTTTACGCCCCATGCGACGCCCGTGAATCCGACGACGCTGCCGACGCCACCCGGCCTCCTCGACGCGCTCTGGCTCTCGTTTCAGTGCTTTCAGCTCAAGCACGGCGGCCAAGACGTCCACGCCTCCCTTGTGATTGTGCACATGCTGCAAGACGGCGTCGACGACATTGAGGTACGACGCTCCAAAATGTCCATGTATGTGATTCATCGTAGCTTGGACGGTCGGAGCTCGCCCACACGACGGACCCACAGTTTCACGTGATGGTCAAGGTGCCCCTCGACGCGATGCACGTGCTGCGCATCCGTGTCTATAGCATCCGCAATTGGAACACGCTCTCGGATCTCTCGTCCCAAAACCTCGTCGGCGAGGCCATGCTCAAGCCGCTCGAGCTCGGGCAGAGCCAGCTCTACCGCCTCTCAAGTTCGTTCCGGGGCGATGTGTGCGTGAGCAACACGGGCCTCCTCGTCGTGCGTTGCGAAGCACCGGGCGTCATGGACACGTCGGCGTGTATCACGCGCAGCTTCTTGCATGGCAAAGTGCTCGTGGAGGAGGCGCTGGTCGAGAGTCCATGGACGTACGAGATCCCATACCAGATGCTCCAGCTGATTCAAGCCGACCTCGTGCAAAAGGCCAACTGGATGGCGCAAGTCCTGCAGGCGAACCGATCGACGCTTCTGCACATACCTCGCCACGGCCTCGGCAGCTTCAGCGGCACCGCGACCAACCACCTCGACGACGACAGCGACGAGGACGACCCACGGTCGTCGCCCGTCTCAACAACGAGTCTCCTCACCGAAATGATTTATCAGCTCCAAGGCAACGCTCGGAAGCGCACGAACCGAAAGTGGCGTGGGTCGATGCTGCAAGACATGGAGGCGTACATCGCCGTTGTGCAAGCCGCCCTTGAAGCGTACGGCCACCCGGACAAGTTCCAGCTCAGCTTCAAGCCAAGCACGAAAAAGGCCGACGCCGAGCTGCGCTTCGTCGCTCTCAACATGCACATGCACCTTTTGACGCTGGGCGATGCGGCGCAGACCTCGTCGTCGTCGTCGCCGATGCCGCCGACGATCGACGAAGAAACCGAGGTTGATTGGCGCGACGACATTCGCGTGCGGTCGCAGTCGGCGCTCGACACGATCTTCCGCGGCCACGAGCTCTTTGGCACGACGACGGTCGGCGCGTTTGCGGCCCACGTCTACGGTTTTGGCCAAGGCGGCATTCGCCAGCTCCGGGACGACCTTGAACGGTCTGCTTACTTTTGTTTCACCTTTGGCTGAGAAGCGTGCGTAGGCTGCGCGAACGGTCGCTCAAAGCCACCGACTGGTCCGACAACACAACGCAGGCGCTCCAGCGCGATATGTATGCGCTTGAGTGGCACATTGACCAGCGCCTCGATGTCGCGTTCACGCAAGCTGTGAGTGCGCTCGTGCCGTGCTTCCAGCAGACGCTGTTTACGCAGTTGCACACGTCGTCGCCCACTGTGTCGCCCAAGGCGTACCTCACGCAGCTGCAAACGGCAGGCTTCCTCTTCAACGTCGAGAGCCTTCTCTCGACGGTAGGGTCAGAAGCCGGTATGCTCGGGGACATGGACGCGGCCGTCAAGGCACTGGCGTACGTGACCATCCGGCTGCGCTTGGTGCCGGATGCCGCGTCGGCCGCATTTTCGGTTGCCATCTCGTCGGGGCCGCAAGGTCTTGTCGTCGAAGTGCCGCTCATTTGCAGCGACAACTACACGCTCGCGCCGTCCATGCACCGCGTGCCGGGTCAGGATTTGGCGTCCGGTGCGGTGTACTGCCCCGTGAAGCTGCCGGCAGCGCGCGTGCTCTTTGTCAAGGTCGTGCCCGTGCTCTTCAACCAGGGCATGAACGAGCTCCAGACCGTGGCCAACACTGTGCGCAAGAGCCAGCTCCAGCACGCAATCAACCAAGAGAGCGCGAACGTGCTCGAGTCGTACTTGGTCGTCGTGAATGCGTCGCCGGCCGTCATGGCCGTGTGGCACAACGCCAAGCAAGCCATCTTTGATACGAAGGACGAAAAGCGTATGGCGATCCTCGAGCAGACGTCGTGGATTACGCGGCAGGTCGGCGGCGGCCGCGTCACGTGCTGCAAGTCGGCGAAAGACCGGACGGCCATGTCGGTGACGCTCGAAGAAGCCAAGTTTATGGACACGAGCGACGTGGCCATGTGGACGCAGCTGCTGCGCACGTACGGCGTTCGTCGCGAGAACGCGCGCAAAAACATTGGGTCGGCGCAGTACTGCTTCAGCTCGTGGCAAAACTACTTGCTTCCATCTGCGTACAAGTGCCCACCAGGCACAGGTGGCGGCAGTCGCGCCCACTCGTAGTACTTTTGCTACACTTTTTGAACCATGTTGGTCTTGTTTTTCGCGCTCGAAAATGCATTGATGTGTCTATCTATGGCTGCGTCGACCACGTAAAGTCAAAGGACGGCGCGAGCGACCGCAGGTGCGCATTGAACGGCGCGTAGAACGCCTCGAGCTTGGCCTTGGCCGCCGCCGGCATCGGGTCGTACGCCCGCGTGTTGTGCGCGGCCGTGTCTTGCAGCACATGCGGCGGCAGTCCGAGGAAGGTCAGTGCTTCGTTGACCGTCGTCTAGATGGATAGGATATATCGAATGGGCTAGAGCGATCGTTGGGATAGTACCTGCGTTGACTCGGGGGTCTTGAGCGCATCGAGGTTCAAAAGCAAAAATTGGTTTCGGGGAAAGTGCTGGAACCAGATCTGGAGCTGGAGCGCGTAGAGACCGCGGCCAATGTACGAGTGCGCGCCGTGCGTCTTGGGCAGACGATCGACGTACGCTTCGAACGTCTGTGGGCACGTTGGCTTGGCGAGCACGTCCTGCGCATACAATTCGTCAATGACACATTGCAACATGGATAAATCGATACCTGGAGCAACGCAAGGTCGTCGTTGATGACGTCATCGAACGACTTGCCTGCGACCGCGGCACGCATTTCGAGCTGCTTGGTCGTGCCCACGGCATCGGCAGTCATTTGGTAGTGCGAGTATGCGCGCTTGACCGGGTCCCGCATCATCACGATAAAGCGCGTGTGGGGAAAGAGCTATACAACTCCATAAATTCGACCCCAACTCTAGCTCATCATCCTACCTGCTGGAAACGCTTGGCGATCGGCGCACCGTACAAGAGGTAGCTCGGCGTGGACTCGGCCAGCAGAATTTTGGGCGCCCACGTCTCAAGCGGCGCCTGGAGCGAGAGCAAGTACTTGGCCCTACATATCGTGAATCATTATATATATGCTCGTGACAAGACAGAAATCATACCGCATATCCAGAGTCGAGTACGTCGTCTCGTCGTCGGTGACTGTAGCGTCCTTTGCGAGGTCGTCGTACGTCTGAAGAATAGCCTTGGCAGGCGCAAGGAGCTCGTCTGTGACGGGCGTCGTCGCCGCCTTGGTCCACGCCCAGTCGAAAAAGTGCGGCTCGCGACGCTGACCGTTCACAATCGACGGGTGCTGCCTAGAGACAATATATTCCATCATCACATTTGTGAATCTTCCATGTTGCTGACGTACCCAAGGTGCTGATAGAGCGATGTTGTGCCGCACTTTTGCACGCCGAGGATCGCATACGACGGCGTCCAGCCAATCGTAAGCGCCCGAAGCGCGCGCGCGGCCTCGGCAGCCATGACGCGGTCGACGTGTCCGAGCATCTCGAGCACCATCGGCTCAACTGCCGCTGGGCACGTTGCGCGTACAGCGGTCGCAAATTCCATCGCGTCGATTTGCTCGATGAAAAAGTGACGGCACGCCGTGGCAAAGGTCGTCGCGGCCTACAAGGACGCGTCACGTGGTGCGGTCGTCACGAAACGCGCTACCTCGTCGCTGGACTCGGCCTTGAGCTGCGCGGTGAGTGCTGTTAGCATGCTTGCAGCAATCTTGGCGCCGGCCGAGTTGTCGAGCTCGTCCGTGGCAGAAATGAGCTCGACGCGGCCACGGACTTGGCGGCAGCGCTGCCCCGCCTCGAGCGTCCTACAGCAGGGTTAGCGTTGCTCGTATATTTTTTGGTGTACGCGAAGAGAGGCGTTGGCACGTGCAGCTCGTCGATGACATCAAAGATGAGGTGCACGCGGTACTCGTCCGCGCCGTTGTACACGCTGTGCTTGGCCGCGTTGTTGAGCTCGACGATCGAGCCTTCGTTGAACGCAAACCGACTCATGCTCTCCTCGAGGCGGCCGCTCTTGAACTCGACCTCGGGAAAGGTCACAATCGGTACGTGGATGCGGTGCGTGCGACCGACCCACGGGCCATTGTCGTGGTGGGCGGGGATGAGCACCTTGGGCGGGAGGCGTGCAAAGAGGCAGCGCACGACGCGCTCAACAGGAACATCGATCGCGGCAAAGAGCGGCTCGAGGAGCGGGCGCCAAATCGTCCACTCGGGCAGCAGGTAGACGTTCTCGAGGTGGTTGTCGGAGAAGATGCAGATGATCTTGTTGACGCCAACCTTGTCGTGGAAGGGCCGGCGGAGCGATACATTGCTCGTGCTCTGGTACTCTTCCGACCAGCGGCTTTCGGGCAGCGACACGATCTGGCGCTTGAGCTCGGCAATGTCGACCTGCGACGCGCGCGTCGTCGCACAGACGAGGTCGACGGTCGGGTCTTCTTGCACGAGGATCTCAGTCGGGCGGCGCTTGTGGCTAACGCAATATGAGTGATCCGCATCGACGCATGCAGCAACGGACCTGAGCGGGACAACGCCCGGCGGTGGCGTTGGCGCGGCTTGCATGTTGCTTGCGGTGAAAGGCGGCGCGATTTTTTTGTGCCTTCGGACGAATGGCATGCCTCGGACCAATCAACGCTCGCGGATGCTTAAATGTGGCATACGCCACGTTGTACTGCCACGACACTCGATTGAGCACATGGCCATGGCGATGCTTTCTGCCACAACGGTGCCCATGGTTGAACAACAACCCGGTACAACGGTAGTACAGAAAAACGAGTTCCTCTTCGCGAAAGCAAGAGGCCGACGGCCATGGTATCGCTTCCTCGCAATTTCGGCGAGGAATCATCCCGGAACTAAGATCCTGTGCACTCGATCGATCCCTGTAGAGCCTACGCAGTACCGCCAACCTCAAGAAATTCCTTGCTATTATAAATAACGACTGTGTGTTCGCTTTCGTCGCTCTTTCCTTGGCACTATCGTACACGTGTATAAAACCAGGGAGGTACATGCCAGCAGCAGGGTCTCGCCAAGCAGGCCGCAGCGATCTACACTCGCTATACGATGAAGGAGCCTGCAACGACTGCGAAAGAGACTTCTCGGTGTCAGCACCGCGAAGTGATAATCGCGCAACTTGGGCTGAATTCATAGCGGCGCGTTTTCATCGCTTCAACCGTGAAGAATGTAGGTACTTGTGTGATGGTCCCCTCCAGACCAAAGAAAAACTTGAGCCACTTCCGATTTTGAGTCAGGCATCATGCGCAGTCTCGTGCTCCTCTCGGCGCTCCTCTTTGCATGCGCCGTCTCCGTCGAAGCGTCTGCGGGCTGCGATACGTGCGCCAACACGGGCATGTGTGCTCAAGCCTTCAAGGGCGCTCCCGGTCAGTTCTGTGGCCGCTTTAGCGGCGGCGTCACGTGCTGCTGCCCCGCCCAAGCGCAGTGCAACATGTCGCCGTTCGACTGCCGCTGCCGCGCCGTTCAACTCCGAAGCCCCTCGTCAAGCTCGCACTCGGGTGGTATTGTGGGCGGCGGTATTTTTTCCTTCCTCGCGTTCGTCATCTGCTGCTGCCTCTGCTGCCGCTGCTGCAAGTCGCGCGACGAGCCCGCATACGTCGCGATCGGCAGCCAGCCGCAGTACGTCGCTCAACCTCAGTACGTTGCCCAGCCGCAGTACGTCACCCAGCCTCAGTACAGCGCCCAGCCTCCGTACGCGACGCCGTACGGCGGGCAGCCCGCGGTCGTCTATGCGAACGCACCGCCGGCCCCGGTTGTGTACCAATCGTACCAAAACAACTACTCTGGCGGTGACGTAGCGCTTGGCACCGCGGCCGGCCTCGCGACGGGCGTCGTGCTCGCCGAGGCCATGCACTCTCACGAGTCTTACGATGGCGGCAACTACCAGTCGTACGATTTCGCCGGCGACACGGGCGGCGGTGACTTTGGCGGCGATACTGGCGGCGACACCTTTAGCGGTGACTTTTAGGACACTATTCTCGTGGTGATTTTGCGCCGGAAAGGCATTTACGATTTGAACCTTTTCCGACTTTTGATTTCTCCATTCGCTTTGCACGTATCATCGATGAAGTACCGGTACTACCGAACCACAGTATTGACGTTGCTGCTGCTTCTTCCGACGGCAACGCCCGTGGCTACACCCGGCTGTATTGCGTGCGCAGCCACAGGCAATTGTACGTTGGCGTACCAGAACCGATCCGGCATTGCTTGTGACCCGCTGGCTTCAGGCGAAGCGTGCTGCTGCCCGCGGAGTCAGATCTGCGCCTCGACGCGCGACCACTGCCACTGCCGGCGCAAGGAGCCCAAGCAACCCTCGCCGTCTGCCTATCTCATCGAGATGTGGGTCGGTATCATCGCCGCGGTCCTCATCACAGCTTGTTTGCTGCCCCGCCTCCTCATCAAGTGCATCACGTGGCATCAAGCTGCCCAGGCCCGCCGGTGCCGCACAGCTGAGCTCCAGACACCTGGTGTCGCGATGACGAACGGAATCGCGGTGCGAGCGGACAACGACCGTGCGTACGCGTCGCTTCCGGTGGCAACCAAGTGCGCCACACAGCCCTAATCATCAAGTCGTCCTCGTAAGAAGGTCCCACAAGCTTGTATTTCACTATGTTAAGGATTTAATGTACAAGACGATTCGTATAAGCCCAATTGCTGACTGGTACCTCGTTCCGCCACCGGTGTTGGTGATCAACAAATGACGTCTGCCTGGGCAATGGGCTACAAACTTGACCAGAGAAGAAAGATAGGTTTTGGGACACAAACCCTTGGCGTCGCTGTACGAAACGTACAGTATAATACTTTAGCAGCCAAGGACCTGGTCAAGGACGTCATCTGTGCCCGCCTACCGGTACAGTTGTTGCTGCGAGCAAGGGTCAATAAACTTGCTGCAAGGTTGGAGTGTCCCCCAGCCGAAGAAATGCTCTCGAAGTTTGAGGTTCGAAATTCGTATCAGCCAGTGAGTTGCAAAGGTTCAGAATCGCACGATGGCTCGTCGACTCGTCACGGTCGCCTTCACCATCCTCGCGAGCTGCGTGAGTTTCGCAGAGGGCGGATGTCATGAGTGCGCGAAGGACGGCGACTGCTCCGAGGCGTTCAAGGGCGCGTCTGGCCACTACTGCGGGCCGTACCAGGACACCGATTGCTGCTGCCCGCAGGGAGCGCAGTGCTTTGTCTCGCCGTACTTTTGCCAATGCCTGCACATCCCGACGTTCATAGCCCCAACGCCACCGCCCGTAGGCGAGACACCCGAGGCAAATACCGTCAAGCAGCACGAGGTGCTCGGTATCGCTTTGGTCGTCATCCTCGTGTGGTGTATTCTCAAGCGATGCCGCAAAAAGCGCGAAATGCGCCGCCGCGCCGAGTACATTCACCTCTCCGAGGTCTCTCGCCCACAATACGAGTATGCAAGCCAGCCCAACTATGGGTCCAACCAGAGCCAGCCGCCCTTTTACCAATACGCACCACCCAACACCGGTCCAAGCCAACCGTATGCCATCTACTTGCCGCCAACATCCCAACAACCGCTGTCGTATGCCCAGCAAGCGCTGCCGACCGAAGGCTACGGGCAGCAGTCTGCCTATCCTACCCAGCAGATCTCGGCCATACCCATGGCGATTCCAGTCGACAGGCAACCGACGACAAGGTCGGAAAACAAGTTCGACTAAAATTCCGTCAACGAATTGCCGTATTGTTGTTGTTGTTAAAAGATCAACGCTCTAAAAGCCACCCAGTGCACTCGTCCCAGGAGATCCCCAATACCAGTCATCAAACAGCGTACACGGAAAGGTGGAGATACTCCAACGTGCGCATACTGCAAACCACAGTGATTGCAGGCACCCCCGACGAGATGGTAACTCGGTCGCGGCGGAGGTCAGGCGGAAAGACGTGATTTGCAAGATACCTCATGCACAAGCCAATCAACGGCCAGGATGTACAGAAAGGGCGAAACGGCAAAGTGCAATTTGCGCGTGGACATGCAGCGGTTCTTTGAGTGGATCTTGGGCAGTGCCAAGGCCAAGCCGGCGCCTCGTATCTCGGTGATGTGCAAGCTGCCCCGGCGACCCTCCCCACGCAACACGGAGCGTTACCTTGCCCTCGACGAAGAGAAGGTACACCTCTTGCGCTGCATGATCGAGCACGCGATGACGCTGCATCGCTGGCGGCGGTCGCCCAAGCACTACACAGCTCAAACACGATCGCCTGTCGTCGTGTCGGGCATCTACCCGCTGCAGTAGTTCCAGGACGACTGCGGACACCACGTCACACTCCGCGGCATCCACCTGCCCGACCGGTATGTCGTGCACTGCACATCAACTGAGCGCGTGTGGCGGGTCGCGTTCCGCTTGCGGTCGTACGTCTGCGCTGTTAGCGCACCCCAAGACGGTACATTCCAGGTCGGAGCCTACATGTGCCAGCAAGAATGGGTGACACTTCGCGTCGCGCGCAGCGTGCTCGGCTCTGTGCTTGAGCCCCATCCCCATCGTGCAACTGGCGACCTCGACGGCCTTCCAAGCGCTGTGCAGCGGCACATTTTGTCCTACTTGGACGCTACGTCCCTTGTTCGCTGCGCCCAGATCAACCACGTACGTAGTCGTACGATACTATGATACCACATCGCTCAAATCTTTTGTAGGCCTTCCTCGGGTACCTCAACGACGAGAGCCTCTGGCGCGCCTTGCTCTGGTTCGGTACGGCGCAAGAGTGCATCTGTGCAGCATTCTACAAATCTTGTCCTTCTAGATTTCAAGCGAGATGGGTCCACCCTCTTGAAGAAGCGGCGTGGGATGTCCCTACGGCAAGCATACGGGCTCTGGTCAGTCGTTCAACCCATCTCGAATCGGTCGCTGATTGGTCGTCGTGGGATGTAGCGCCCAACACGAGACGTTGCATCAACAGGATCGCCAGCGCAAGGTGCCACGCCGTGCACAAAGATAAGGCCTGACCAGTTTGCGTCTGATACGGCGTCGCTGCTTGTTTTTGGCGCGCTTTCTCTGCCTTGCAGTTGATGAAAATATATGGAACCGAGCCATGAACCGTCCTACTGTCCGCGTCTTCTTTTTCAAAGCGTCTTGTTGAAGTTGCTCATTTTGCATTTTGCCTCCACACGCTCGATCGATACCTTTAGCATGCTCCGCCTCGCGTCGTCGTCTACCCGCCGCCTCCGCACGCTCTCGCGCACCTTTGGTAGCCTACGGGACGATCGATCCAAGTCTGATCTACGCACAATAGCGTCGTCCCGCGTTCAAGTGCTCGAGTCCGAGACCGAGTACGCGTCGCTGATTGCCAAGCCAGAGGCCAAGAGCATTGTGTACTTTACGGCGCCGTGGAGCGGCCCGTGCAACGCGATCGCGCCGATTTTCTCCGAGCTGAGGTACGAACGCTCAAAGTTGCACGATATCCATGGACTATTTGCTCGTAGCAACGCCTTTCCGAACCTCAACTTTGCCCAGCTGGACGTGCACGAGCTCGACGACACGGCGGTGGAGGCCGGCATTCGGGTACGTGTATCGTCGATGCCACATCCAACGTCGCGAGTAGGATATGCCCACGTTCCATTTCTATGCCAACGGCAAGTTGCAAGAACCACTCGAGGTATACATTGTCTGCATCAAACGAGAACGCTCATGAACGACTTCTAGCTCGCAGGCATCGACGTCAACCAGCTCAAGGACAACATTCAAAAGCTTGCCGACTTGTAACGTGCTCATTGCGTCGTGTGTTGTCCATTGAATGTCATTAAGTTTTGTCCGTTGGTTTGTGTTTTCTTGTCACCTATTGGCAAGCAAACTTCCACGAAATTTATCGATTGACGAATGGGACATCGACGACACTGCGCCGTCTCCCAGGCACACGTTCGTCACAAGCACCCGTTGGCGTCATTTCCAGTCATGCGTCGTGTCAGAGCTACCGTGAGAATGCATCGCTACTCGACCGGGTCGGCCCGGAACGATCGAGCTGCGCCGCACTTCGTTCCACTCACGACACTTGACGCATACGAGGCGTGGATCACAGCGCCCCACAAGCGACGTGTTGTCTACTTTACAGCGCACTGGAGCGGTCCCTGCTCGATCTTACGCCCTACGTTGCACGCTTTATGGTACGTCTTCTTGGTCGCTCGGTCTCACATGCCCTTTTCATTCTAGTGCCACCTATCCGACGGTCGAATTTGCTCAAGTCGATGTGCATGCGATGGACGATGCGGCGGTTCTTGCCAATGTGTGTGTACGTCCTTTTTTGCGTACGCTGTCCTTAGCAGCGTCTGATACAGGACATGCCCACGTTCCACTTTTACCTCGACGGAAAGCCACAGCCTGCGCTCACGGTACGTCGGCTGCGATGAAGGTTGTGCTAACCGAGCGGTTAGTGCACTGGCCTGCGCTGCGAGTTACTCCAGTGCAACGTCGCCAAGCTGGCCGACGGCCCTATCCGTTGATCCCGCGCTTCCAGAATTGGTAGCGCTGTGTATCGATAACGCGTCGCTTGCGTCTCGCCTACGTCGCTACATACAGCATGTTGAATGGCGCGTTCTGTTGCTTCCAAGGCAAAGCGTGGGCACATGGTGTAGTCAGCAGATCCGTTGAGGTCGGCTCAGAATTTGGAGTGCCACGTTCGACCAATCACAGCAATCGATCCTTGAAGGTCGTTAAACCCAGGGATTGCTTGCGACGCATCCGGCGGCCTCTCATTTTCGGAATTCGCCATGATTCGCATCTCGTCCGCTGCTGCCTCGATCACGCGCGCCACGCTCGGCGCCCGCGCCTTCTCACGCGGTGTCGGTATGTGCAAGTGGCATGTCGGTCATGGCCTCATGCTCATGGCGTAGCCTCGCGCGTCCAGGTCCTTGACACGGACAGCCAGTACACGGACTTGATCGCCAAGCCGTCCAAGAGTGTCGTCTACTTTACGGCGGCGTGGTGCGGCCCGTGCAAGATGATCTCGCCCATTTACGCCCAGCTCAGGTACACGATCTGCTGCAAGACTCGATGCAAACGTGCGCTGTAGCAACGAATTCCCGGACGTCGAGTTTGCCAAGGTCGATGTCGACGAGCTCGACGAGACGGCCGCTAAGGCCGGTGTCCGCGTACGCGCTGCCAACGTCTCTGCTGACGCGTGCGCTCATGCTGTCGACGATATAGGCCATGCCCACGTTCCACTTTTACGCCAACGGCAAGCTCCAGCAGCCTCTTGGCGTACGTCACGTGTTGATTGCTCGTCTCGTGGACGCTCATTCCGTGTGTAGTTTGCCGGCGCCGACCCGAAGCAGCTCCTCGCCAACGTCCAGAAGCTCGTCGCCTTGTAAGCAGCGAAACCACTGCCAATCGACTGCGTTCAAGAGGACAAATCCTAACTTCCTAATCTATTTTTGATCGCGCAACCTGACTTTGGCGCGCCATGGAGACCATGTTCCCGATGCCTGTCGCCCGGTGCAAACAAAAGCCGGGGCCCGCCGTCGCGCAGCAGCAGTATGCGCCGTTTCGCATGACGTACATGGACAAGAAGGCGTACATTGGTCGCCACTTCGAGCCCATGTTCCTGCTTGACGTACGATCCTAGATCCTTTTGAGATGGCGCGCGGACCTGGCTACCTCGAGAGCCCGCTCGTGGTCACAAAACGACCCATTACACTCTACAAGTAGTACTTCATTCGACGTTGATCTCTCATCCACCGTCATCTTTGTCCAGAGTCGAGCGCGCCAAAGGCTTCAACCCAACGCTGCCGGTCCACGCCGACGCCATGTACGACGTCGACCACGGCATTGCGTACGAGACCACACGTACTATGATGTCCTTTTGCTTATATTCCATCGATTGATTGTCGCTGCTAGACAAGGGCAACGCGGTCGCGCTCAAGTCGGCGTCGCCGCGGTTCCCCGAGGTACAGAGTGCGTTGAACGATCTGCTCCAAGAACGGTAGACTCGCGACCGCGCGCCAGGGCCAGGAAGCTACCACTGCGAAGAGGTAAAGACGAAGCTATCGGCGTCTCGGTGATCTTGAAGTCGACTAGTTCCATGGCGCATTCCCCATTCTTCTCCACGTGGTCACACCACGGGTATACCTCGTTTTGTGATATATCTGCACCGATATGCGCTGCTGCAGGACGCCAAGCAAGCGCAGCATGAGAAGAAGGACGCGCTCAAGCACATGATGGGCGTCATCCCGGTCCAGGAGACACCGACCCCGAAGCGGTGCCAAATTCAAACGTCAAGTTTGCGACGATTCATATAAGGGGCGTAGGTCGATTCGAAAGTCGGCGCCCTCAGCGTCAACGGACGAGCGCAAGACGGAACTTTATATGCACACACTGCAGGATGTGGCCATCACCTCGTCGAGTGATGATGCTGCGTGTACATCGTCTCCGCTCGTGGCGCGACTCACGCCTCGCAACGCCTACAACGGCGCGTACTTGGCCCAAGCACCGTCGCCGACGCTGTGGGTGCAACCACCACCAACGTGCCACCGACCAACGCCACAGACAGTAGCAGTCTCACCACCCAAGAGTGGACGAAAGCATCGACAGCGACAGTCCCCGCGGGTGTTTGTGCGTCTGACCCCGTGACCCTATACCCACGCTAACCCTACAAAAGACTTTTGTAAAGATAGCTCCTCATGTTGCGCGGAGAAAGCACTGCTTTTCCTCGCTGCTGCCACAGTGCCGATGACAATGAACCAATGCAAAGGAACATGGCGCACTCGAACTCGAACGATTCTCTTGCCGCCATCGGCCAAGTACGTGAACGACCGGTGTCAAGATGCAGCACATTAGACGACCAAAGCACGTACTCACAGAGCCTGCCGCTCACCGTTGGAAGCTACGTCTCAAGTGTCTTGAGCAAGTGCTCGATGCTCTCCGACACGACAGACATGTATGGTGTTGATACTGCCTATATCTAGTCGTCGCCGTGTCCCATTATATACTCCATGAGACTCGTATCGCTTAAGGATAACTCCGAGCTTCAGAGAACCGATCGTGAAAGGCGTCGACGACAGGTGCAAATGCAGTATCGGCGGGCAGCGCATCGACTGCCGCCGCCAGCGCACCGAGGTCGGCGTCTGGCGTCCACTGAAGCGCGTTCCCACTCGTCGCCTAGACAAGGCAAGTTCCTTGAGCCATGGATAATACCATGGTCTTGTACCCATTGCACCAGTGCGGCGACCGCGATGCGCTTTGTCGCCTCGGGCGTTGCGGTGTGCAGCACAATGCGGCACAGCGTCGACGGCATGCGCTTGGACGCGGCGGGTAGTGGCATGGCTTGGCCAAAGTGGGCTACGAGCCCGACACACTTGATAGTTTCGCACAGGACGCTGGCAGAGACGGGTGACGACGGCGCGTCGAGGCCGTCTGTGAGTTGCGAGAGGACCTCGTGGAGCGTCATAGCAATCGTTTCAATGTTGGCGTGGATGCGCGCGGCTCGGTCGGCGTCCGGCATCTCGTACGGCGGGAGCACGCTGCAGACGAAGACGTCGAGACTGGCCAAGACGACGCGACTCGCAACGACGGCACTGTTTGGGTCCACACTCAAGTGCGTGGCCACGGCGTAGAGCAAGAGTACACTCGCGACGTCGATGAAATTGTCGGTTGGCTGCCGCAGAAACGGTGTCACGAGGCCAACGAGCCGGTCGAGGCTGGCCAGCGTCGTTGCGCGGCGCTCAGCCGCCGGTGGCCGCCAGTCATAAACATATGTCTGCAGAGCGTAGACGAGCCACTCGCACGGACCACCAGCGTGAGTGTCGTCATCGTAGGCCAAATGCGCTTCCACCAAGTCGTGCCAGAGAGGAAGAAACCCTGCCGACGAGAATGCGTCACGCATTGCGTCACCGCTGTGCACGAGAAGACCGACGAGCGTGAGCGCGTTGAAGTACAAGTGCTGTCCGATAAGCGATTGCGTCTCGGCCCCTCGGCGGTCCATGGTCTCGCGCTGGCACAAGAGGTCCGTCAAGATCGTCGCCGTTGTCGATGTGTGGTCGTCGACGGTGAGGCGGAAGGCGTCGAGGCTTTGCAAAATCGCATCGCGGTCGCCGTGTTCAAAGATCTGCAAAAGCAGACTGGTGCTCTGGAGGCACGCGACAGCTTCGACGTCGTTACGCAGCTGGCCAGCGCCCAAGTGCGCGTCGCTGAGAAGCGCCATGAAGCACGGGACGACGTCCAGGTCGACGTACGTGGCGGCGAGCTCGGCTGCTACGCCCAGCATCGTCCCGAGGAGGACGACCGCCGACGCCTAGACATAGACAGTATTGTCGTTGGCGAAATGTTCAAAGAACATGCGTACGCGAAGGCGAAGGTCCTCGTGTGTCGCCAAGAGCTGGGCACAGGTCGCCGTGACGCCGTTGGCGCGCAGCACGAGAGCCAAATTAGGATATGCTTCGACGAAGCGGGTCAACAGCAGCAAAACCTGCCACACGGTCTCGGGTGCGTCCGTATCGAGCAATGGAAGGAGCATGCTCAAGCCGCCATGGGCCACGAAGGACTCGGTGGTCGAAAAACCGGCATTCGCACCTTCCGAGAGACGAACTTGTAGCTGCGTGAGCGCCTGCCAGCACGTGGTCGCGTCGCTCGACTGAAGCGCGGTGCAGAGCGCAAGGATGCTGGCGTCGTTGGTGCGCGGCGCCCGACACGACGGCTTGTGCTGGGGCCAGGACGCCGACTGACACGCTGCGCTGCAAAAGTACACGCGCTTGCACTGACTGCAACGAAGCGCTTTCCGCGCCGGTTTGCAGCAGCTGGAGCACCACGATTTGTGCGTCGCCCAGCGGGCTTTGCCATTATCGTCGTCACTCGCCTTGTCGTCCTCGATGCTCGCCGGCGCAGCTTGCATCTTCTTCGCTGCGGCGCGTTCCCACTGCAGCGGCGGTGCTGGCGCCGAGGCCTCGGGTGGCACGACAGCTGGCGTCGGGCGCTCGGTCACGCCGTGGTTGTGCACGACCTGCGCGTTGGGGCACGCCGCCATGTCGGCGGCGAAGAGCGTCCACGCGCGGTTGGTCGCACACGAGTTGCAGACCGGCCGCGGATTCTCCCATTGGCTCTCGCGGAACCCCGACTGCTTGGCCTGAGGGACGCGGCAGTCGTCGCAGATCAGGACGCTTGGCATATTGCGATATTCCGAAAATAGTACAAACAGAACACTATTTAAAGCACACCACGTGGCACGTCGGAGACAGAGGCGCATTCCAGGTCTGCGTAGCGTGAAGTATGCGCTACCGCTTCAGCCTTTCTTGCCTCGACATGTGTCGAATTCGGCGTGCGCTTGTCGTCCCGTCACTTTATCGTAACCTGCTCGAGCGTTGCCGTGATCAATCCAAATCATACACTATTTCCGTTGATACGAATATCTTGGTGAACCGGCGTCGAACAACAGTCGTGACACGAAGAAGATCCAAGCCGAGGTGCGATGGGATGGAAGATGACGCTGCTCGGCGGCCTCGCTGCCTGCTGCGGCGCCCTCGTCAACGCCGACCAAGTCGCGTCCAGCGGCAGCTCGTACCTTGTCAGCCGTCCGACCAAACTCGGCGCCACGGCCACGTCCTGGTACGGTCCCTGACGCCGCGCTACCTATGGAAGATTCCTTGGTCGTAGGCCGACAGAGTACGGGGCTGTGGGCGTCACGACCGCCAATGTAGCATCCGACGGGTCGCTTGCATGGTCCGACACCGTCGGGTCCGGCGACACGGAGATCGTGGGCGGCAATGCGCTCGACGCGGCAGGCAATGTCTACGTCGTCGGCTCGACTCGCGGCAACATGACGTCCAACAACGCCAACGCAGGCAACTTTGACTGGTTCATCCTCAAGTACTTGCCGTCCGGGGCGCGCAGCTGGACCAAACAGGTTGGACACACGAGAACACACGGCAGTGGATGCTGCATCTCGATAAATAGGTGGGCACACCGGCGCACGACGAAGCGCGGACTGTCGTCGTGACCACCGAGGCCGACGGCAACGACTACATTTACGTCCTTGGTGTCACGTACGGCGCCATGGATGACACGCTGCATGTCTCGAACGGGTACCGGCAGTTTGGTGGTCGCGACCTCTTTTTGTACAAGCTCACTACGGCGGGCGCCAAGCTGTGGAGCCGACAGGTAGTCTGTCTTGACTATGAGTGTATCATGATTGATTTTGTAGTTTGGGACGTCGGGCGACGACTACGCTTACGGCGTGACCATCGACGCTGGACAGCTTCTCGTATCGGGTGGTGCCCCCGGAACACAGTTTCTCACTGCGTTCAACACGTCGGGCGCCATGACCGACATGGTGGCCGACGGTGGTGTGACGATCCTTCCGATCCAAATGCGTTTGGCCGAAGGCGACAGCACTGTCGGCAAGTATACTGTCGTGTTGAACCGACAGCCGACGGCGTCCGTCACCATTTCGGTGACGCACCCCGCGTTGGTCGCCCCGAGTGGACAGCCGTACGGCGTTACACGTTCAAGTGGTCGCTCACGCTGGCGTAGGCTCCCCCAAGTGAGGCTTTCGACAATGACGCTGGTCTTTAACGCGTCGAATTGGAACCTCCCGCAAGCCGTGACGGTCACGGCCATTGACGACGCGATCTGTGAACATACACACTACGCTGCGGTCTCCCACGCGGTGAGTAGCAGCGACAAGCACTTTGCACCGTCGACGCCATTTGTGCTGGGGCGACAACTGCTCTTTACGATTCGCGACAACGACGTCGCCAGCATTGCGCTGTCACGACAGCACTTGTATGCTGTCGAAGGCGGCGCGAGAGACACCTACAGGTAGTATCTGTTATGTGAGGGGGGCGCTTGATATTCGTGCGTAGTATCGTGCTTACATCGCAGCCGTGGCAAAACGTACTCGTGACAGCAATGGCCCTGCGACCACTTCAGACTCAGCTGCACCCGACGACAGTCGAGTTTAACAGCAGCAACTGGAACACTCCGCAGTGGATCTCGGTCACAGCAGTTGACGATGCCGTCTCGGAGAATGAATTTGGCGGCGTCCATGCCGGAGGTACAGTCACACACGTGGCGTCGAGCTTGGACGCCAACTACAACACCCGCCAACCATCATGCTACTATGTGGCTACCTGCAACTGCAGCGGCGTGGTCACGCGCGGCAATTGCTCGACGGTACACTGCATTGGCTTCGCTCCATATTTATGGGTTGGTAGCAACCTACGTCGTGCCAAGCCGGAACTCCCGCTCTTGTTTGCGATGTCAACGCAACGATTACCGGCAACGGTGAGCTCGTCCCGTTGCTGAGTGGAGGCAATGCCACGGCACCTCTGAATGCAATTCCGATGCGCTACGGTGCTGCTGCGCTCAACCCCAACCCGCCGACATCCTCGACAACCTTCATCAACAGCGCACTCGAGACCATCCAGGTGCCAATGCGACTGGTGCAGCTGCTGCCAGCACCGTTGGATGACGGGTGGGGTGGGGTGTGGACGACGCAAGCTGTTCAGCGTATCAACAGCAGCGCCATCAACCCCAACCCGCTCAGCTACATCGTGTCGGGGCTCAACCTCTCGGCTGTACCGGCAGACGTTGCTGGCTACGTCTACAGTCTTGTGGTATGCAGTCTGCATCTGTGAGAGCATGCATGAAGCGTCCCGTAGGCGGTGTCTGACGGTGCTGCTCTGGCCGCACTCGCGCAAAACCAGACGCAATTGGTGTGGGCACTGTGCTTGGGCATGCAACGCCTCACGACGCAGCGCTGGGCGTTTGACGCGTGGCCGCCAGGCACGGCCGACCGCGTCCTCGACGCCCTCTTTTTCATTTTTCCAAATTTGCAAGAACGTCTGTTGTGGAATTGCGGCGGGGCCACCTTTACGCCTAGTGTTGGACTGGACGTGACGGTGTTTGACAATGACCCAGGTCTGCACCTTGTTGTAATGACGTCCCTGGACTGAATGGGGCGTAGCTGTGACAATCTCCAAGATGCAGCTTCAGGTTGCCGAAGGTAACAAAATGCTGTCAACGACTTGAACTACCGCATGGCTCTAGGCGGCGCCACCGACAGCTACTCGGTTGTCCTCAATGCGCCACCGTCCCAAGGGCAAAGTGCAACAGGATCCCTTTGTGCGTCACCCACGATGTTACCAGACGTCTGCGTCGCCAACTACTCGGCGTCGGGGTACCGGGCAGCCTTTGCTCTGTCACCCACGTCAACGGATACGGTACGAGCGCAAATCTTAAAAATCGAAACGTAACGATGGTACCAGGTCACGATCGTGGCGTCGAGCACCGACCAAGTGCAAATAGCTCCTCCGTTTCTTGTGTTTACCAGCGCCAACTGGTTCGTACCTCAAACGTTTACGGTGACGGCCGTCGCCAACCACAAGGACGATGGGCCGTTGAACTCGACAATCACCCACGCGGTATTTGCGTCTGGCGCTGGCGCGCAGTCGTTTACGTCGGCGGCGTTTTGGATGGCGTCGTGTCTGCCATCGTCGTCGTCTCCGTTCATAGCTCCACCATTGCCTTACAATGCTCTGCCTGAGGTTCCTGTGTCCTTGGATTTGAGTTTGCTCAGTTTTGTGGGTAGGTCTATTTCGCACCGCAGCACAGTCAAGTGCAAGTTCTCGTTCTCAATACCGAAAAGGCGGCAGTGTTAGCTTCGACGGCTGCACTGAGTATCAAGGAGATCGACGTGACCGTGGATGCCGCTGCCGTTGGCGCAACGTCGACCGGCGTCTGCACCGACAGTCTCACGGTATCGATATATTGTCCTGTGTCGTTCAAGTTGGAAACTGAATCGTATGGCACTAGATGAGCTCGCAGTCGGGTACCATCACAAACGTACTCTTGCTTGCGACCAACCAGACGTCGCTTGTTCGTTTTCAGCTGCCATTTCTGCACCACAGTGCGTTCAACAGCGTCTTGGGCTCGGCGACGCTCGAGCTAACGCAGACAAAGTACGCGGTTGTCAACACCACGTGGCTCAACGTGACCACGGCGACGCTCAACCCTACGTTCACGGTCCGCGTGCGCCTCGTTCAATCCAACTGGACAGAGCCTTCGTTTGCGTCCTTGCCGCCACCGATGCTCATTCCACCGGTCGTTCTCAACATCACGATGATCAATTCGGTCTTGCGTCTGGACGTAACGCGGCTCGTGGCCGCCGTTGGTGCGTCCTTGCCGCTGCTGAGCTTTCAAGTTGACGTGCTTGCGGCCAGCGCAACCGTTCAAGTCCACGCGCGAAGCGACCCTGAAAACTTGGCGCCTTCCCTCGTCCTGCGTACCCACTTTCCGAACTTGCTGCTGAACCAACCTACGCTTCAGAGCCCGAGCAGTAGCAACAGCGGTGCGGCCGTCGATGGTAACGTGACGTCTGTGATGCCCGACGCCTTCTCTTGGTGGCAAGTCACTCTTCCGAGCGTGCTGCCGCTTGGCACGCTGGCGATTTTCTTGCCGCTCACGACAACGTCTGGTGCACTCGCAGTCGTCGTGTCGACGGCGCCGTTGCCAGCCGATTGGACGCTCGCCACGGGACCATCCAACGGCGTTCTCGTGCACAACATAACGATCCGCCGCCCCGTGCTCGTGTGGCCGATTCCGGGTGCCGGGCAGTACATTCGACTCTACGCCCAGCCCGACTTGCAGATCCTTCTGCGCGAAGTACAGCTATATCCACGCAGTGTCAACGTCACAACCACGGACGACGGGTACAGTGTCCGCGCCACCAATTGGGTCTCGGAGGCCAAAGTCAACCCAAATTACGACACACGCCAAGTGTGGACGCTCGCGTCGGGGGCCAATGTCCGAAGCGACAACGTCGCACTTGGAATCCCGAGTACTTTGAGCACAACCGCGACCACTCCCATTACGACGCTGTCGACAACGTTTGAGACCAACCCGTACTGGGAAATGGATCTTGGCACTGTGCAGTCGATTGGCGCCGTGTCGTTGCGCCTCGCCCGGTCGCTGGCTGAAGCTACGTTGTGCAAAAGTCCTACTATGCCAACCGCGCCCAACACCATCTCCAGCTTCACCTCGGTATGTGCCTCACCATTAGTTAGCCCTGCGTTGTAGCTCCAAGTCGGCGCATGTAGGCGCGGCTACGCCTTTCGAGTAGCCCCATGACGGCCACTGTCAACGCAACCGCTGAGAAAAGCTGGACGAGTTCGCTTAGCGCTTGCTTTGACTTGACGCTGTCGTGGCCCATGTTTGCCTCTGGACGGTAGATCTCCGACCATGTACAGGACATTCGGCATGGAATTGATCGTAGGTACCTGCGCCTTGACATGGTCGGCAGCGGCGCGCTTCACATGACGACCGTCAATGTCCAGCGGTGGGCGGCCCAATTCTCGCAATATGCTCTGGTGGAGCTGCGCGGCTCGGGTGTATTGCCGCTCGCGTTGCCTGGGTTGCGCTTCTTGGGTGACAACGAATCCGAGTTGCCGATCCAAGTGTTTGGTGCGAGCTCCAGCGCCAGCGGCGGTTGCTTCTTAGTTGGCGCGGCGCCATCGGTGCGCGAGTGGGTCGTTGTCGACTTTGGTGCTGTGCGAACGCTGAAAAATGTGGTACTCAGCTTGAGCGTCGCGAGCTGCACCGGCAGCGTTGAGGCACCGAGTGCGATTTCAGTTTCCGTTTACGGCGACCCTGCATTGACGTACACTCCACCTCTCATCTCGAACGATGCGTGCAGCTGCACAAGCGATGCGTGGGGTCGAAGCTCGACCGTACTGCCTGCAAGTTGCAACGGTGTCTGCTCCGGCATTCAGTGCACCACAGCAACGTGCAGCAATGCCGATGGCACGCTTGTACGCCAAGGCACGACGCTCTACTGGTCTGCGTTCCGGGACCTCGTCGTCCTCGCGCCCACGGCGAGTCTTCCGACAACGTTACTTCCGTTCACGAGCGGTGCGTACAGTCTTTTTCTCCTTCGCGACGAACCATTATGGCTGCTGCAACTGAGCGCAACGGCGCCGGATGCCAACGTCTCGGCGACCAACGTGGTGTTTACGACAGCACCGACCTTTCCAACGACATTTGCAGCGCTGACATCGTCGTCGTCCCTTGTTGTTTCAAGTGTCTTTGGGCGGAGTACGTGGTTTGGCATCTCGTATTTCAACACTAGGGACGGTACGTTTACGCTCGAGTTTTGGGCTGCGTTCCCTTCGACGGTCCGAGCGGGGTCTCTGGCGGCGTACGCCAGCAGCGCCCGAGCAACGTTTACTGTCGGCTTATTTGCAAACCAGACGCTGTACTTTTCCTTGTCCGACCAAGGAATCACGTCGACGGTCGTGGGGCCCGTCGCGCTCTCGTCACCAGGAGTGACGCCAACCACGTGGCATCACATCGTTGCCGTCTACGACTGGAAGCAGCAAATTCAGACGCTGTCGGTGAATGCGTGGACACCGGCATCGGGCGCGACGAGCATGTTTCTGGGTCAAGTGACGCGGTCTGATACGATTGCCGTTGCAGCCAATGGGCAGCTGACGTTCTCGGGCAGTCTTTGGCTCGCCAATGTGGCGTTTTACCAGCGGGCGCTGAGCGCTTTTGAAATCCTCGAGCATTTTTACCAGCCGACGCCGACCAAATCGTATGCGATGCTCAACTTTCGGCTAGCAACCAACCCGATGACGAGCGTCGACGTCAATTTGGTGTCCGAGTTGAGCTGCTACCGCTGGGGTCTTTGCTACGCCAGTGTTTTGCCGCCGACTCTCCGCTTTACGCCGACGGTACCTCACCACATAACGCTCTCGGATGCAAATATTTGTGTGTAGAATTGGAACGAAACGCAATATGTCTTTGTGCACGCCACGGACGATCTCATTGCCGAAGGGCTCCACCCCGACGTTGTGACCTACGAGATTCTTGCAGCGGCGACGCGCGCCACGTCCATGACGGTCTTAACACCAGCTTACGCGACGACCTGCGCGTCGTCCTTGGACACATTCTTCCGAAACTACATTCTTAACGCGACGGAACCCCAAGCACTACCGCTACCGTCTGCGGTCGCCGCCTCTTTTGGCAGTTTGCAGACATCGTGGGCAGTCCAGAACGTCTCGACAACGATTGTACCAGTACTTGGCTACAGCAATGTCAGTGTGTCGCCGCTTCAGCTCACGATCGCCGACATCAACGTGGCACGAGTTGAGATTTCAGCGTACTACTTGATGTTGTATGAAGCCGGTCTCGGAGACATTTTCCAAGTTGTGCTCACGGCCGAGCCCAAGAACGACGTGTACGTGCAGCTCAACGCGTCGACGGACTGCTATCGGTCGTGTGGCGTGGCCACCGCGGCGAACCCGTGCCCCGTGCCATCAACGACGCTTGGCAACGAGAGTCGTCTGTGCAACTGCACCGTGTCGCCTCTACGATTGCACTTTACGCCGTCAACGTGGAACTTGCCTCAAGCCGTGACGGTGCGTGCGTCAACAGCGACGCGAGCATAACATATTATAGGTAACACCGACGGACGACCGCCTCGACGAAGCCGACGTGCACTACACAAAAATCGTAGTGACGACCACCAGCGCCGATCTGGTACTGTCTTTCGAGCAGTCTCCAAGGCATATATCGCGTGGGACTTAGGACTACGATCAAATGTTCCTCGAGAGCATCCGCGTCGCCGTCGTCGACAATGACGTGTCCAACATTGTCCTATCGACGAAGTCGATTGCGCTGAGTGAGGACGACACGTCCACCGGTACAACGACACTTGGCGACTTTGCATGACATGTGCCCCTAGCTGCCGAGTATACGATGGTGCTTGCGACCGAGCCGTGGAGCGAGGTCAACATTACCATCAGCAACGAAGCGACCGGCGGTTGCTACCGCACGTGCGGCTACCCCATCGATCCGTACGAGGAGAGAGATATAAACGTTCTGAGACACTGGCTGTAGAGCGAGCTGCGGCCTGCCGCGACCCGTTGCGACCAACTCGATCGAGATCAAGTCGTCGTCAGTCCGCGAGATCCAATCCGTGACCGCCGCCATGACGACGACCAACGGCATACAAATCGTGACGACAACGACGACGCACATTGACCCCGTTGTCATCGTGCGGCTCACGGGTGGCTTTGCGCTGCAGACGTACGAGCTCAGCATCACGTTCCCACTTGGCACTACCGCGAGCAGTACGCTGCCGTATGGCGCAACATTCCAAGTGAGCACGACCACCAGCGTCACGCCACCCTTGGACGGGTTTGTCTCTGCCTCTGCGCTCCAATCAGCAATCAATGGGCTGCAGCCAGGCTACGTTGTGACGAGAACGACGACGTCGGCGTCATCGGGAGCGCCGATGCTTGTTTGGCGCATCGTCTATGGTGCCGCGTCTCCATCGGCGCCGATCCTCGTGCTCAACTTTCCCACGTCCTTCCTTGGCACAGGCGTGCTTCGTGCGATTGTGCCGACGGCAGTTGCCCCAACGGGCGTCGTGGGCTGGAGCTACGGGCCGACGCCGGGGCCCGTGACTGTCGCGTACGGCGCCAGTGCAGCTCAAATGACAACGTACCTCGAATCCATTCCGGGTATCAATACTGTGACGGTTCAACGAGCAGTCGTGGACTTTGGCTTCGAGTACACAATCACGTTCACGTCCGTACCAATATACTATGCCACAGTGTCGGTCGACACGCGCCAGCTGGTGCTTTCGGCCTCGGCAACGTCCAGTGTCGTCGTCTCGAGCTCGGTCACTCGGTCGCCCAACCAAATCGGTGGTTTTTTCGTATTGTCGTATCCAGTGAATGCCACGTACACGGGTGTCTCGACACCACTGCGCTACAATGCAAGCGCAAATGAAGTACGTTTCCTCAATTCAGGCTACTTGAAAGTCAAAATATGAGAATAGGTGATGGCGTCGTTGGCGGGCATCCCGACGCTCGGGCCTGTTTCGGTGCAACAACGCCAACTGACACCCGAGCTTACGTTTACGTGGACGATCGAGTTTACCGGCAACGTCGGCCCCGTCAAGAACCTCACAGCACAGTCCGTCAACTTGACAGGGCTTGCATCAGCTGTCATTCTCTCGTTCGTTCAGCAAGGGGAAATGCTCGGAGGTGGCTTTGCCCTGAGGATCGGGGGCGCCTTCATCAATCAATACGCCACGGGTGAAGTGTACAACCTCAGCGTGCCGGCGCTGACGACGCCGTACCTTCCATTCAACGCGTCGGCCGCGGCGGTCCAGTCGGCACTGCACGCGTTGCCATTGTTACTGCCACTCGTCGGTGTCCAAGTAAACCGCATCGATGCTTTCTGCGACACATTTGGACGCTGCCGCCAGTACAGTTGGCAGATAACGTTCGCACAAACACCAGGCAACGTCCCCGAGATGGCGGTGCTGAACAACATCACTGGCACTGGCGCGTCCGTCGTCGCGTCGACGGTGGCCAATGGCACGTACCTCAACGGGATGTTTACGATTTCGTTGGCGTTGAACGCGACGGGCACTGTCTATACGGGCACCACGTGGCTCCTGCCAGTGAACGTGACGGCCGACGGCGTCAAGGAAGCGCTCGAGGCCTTTCCGTTTGTGACGTCCAACCGGCTTGAAGACAGCGCATATGACCCGACCAATGCCCTTGCGGTGCCGCGGGCCACGAAAGGCGTCCGAGTCACTCGCACGGGGCCGTACCTCGACGGCGGCTACAAGTGGCTTCTTGACTGGTCGCTCAACGACTGGCTCGTCTTTACCAACGTCAATGTCACCGTCAACACAACTCTCATCAGTCAAGACCTCGTACTCATGCTTTGCTCGGACGTGGTTGTTCACAGTGGTGCGACGTAGGTCCCCGTCACGGTGGCCACGCAATATACCTCGTCGGGGCCGCGTTGTGCGGTGTACCCCAAGACAGTCTTTCAAGTCGATCCGACAGACGTGTACGTGCTCAGAACGTTATGAAAAATGGTGAAACGCAGGGCGCGTAGGTTTGGGCTCCGTGGCACGTGTGTCTACCCGCTCCTTGTGAGTGTCAACCCGGAGCGATACCTCTGCAACATGACTGTGACGACGCCCCGCAAGATATTTGATGCGTCCAACTGGTACATTCCGCAAACCATCGACGTTGTCTCCGTGCATGACCGCCTTGATGAATCGTCGACAGCCACCAACGTGACCATTTCGACACTGACGCACGAAGCTTATACGCTCGACTTTATCTACGCCGACGTCAACGTGCCCACCGTGGCGGTCAATGTCACGGACGTAGACCGCGCGCGTGTCGTTGTGTCCAAGTCGCTCTTGGTGGCAGCGGAGAACGGAAGCATTACGGACACGTATACGCTGGTATTGACGACAGAGCCGCGCGCGTCGGTGCTCATTGTCGTCTACCCGTACATTGTGTGGACTGACTGCTACCGCTTCGGGTTTTGCAACGTGACCTTGGACACGACAGAGGTACGACGCTGTGTACCCTTTTGATCCAACCAGTCGTTAGGTTGAATTTACAGTCCAAAACTGGTACATCCCACAGACCGTCTCCATGCGCGCGACGCCCGACCGCTTGGACGAAGCCGATACGCATTTTGGCGGCATCTCACACGGCGTGTTCAGTGACGACGTCAAGTACAACGGAACGGCGGTGGCCAACATCACGGTGCAAATCTATGACGCCGATACGTCGGCCGTGATTGTGACCAAGACAACGCTCGCCATCTCAGAAGCTGGAGCCAGTGACGTCTACGGCGTTGTGCTAGCAACAGAGCCGTGGGCCAAAGTCACCATCACAGCGCTTTCGAACGGCACCGACAACCTTGGGAACCAAGTGTTGGTCTCGGCGCCATTGGTCTTTACGTGGCTCAACTGGAATGTGACGCAAATGATCACGGTACTTTCGTGCATCGTAGCATCGCCTCACGCCAAGATGTAGGTATCTCCGATCCACGACAACCGCGTCGACCCGGCGCCACACACAGCGCTGCTACGTCACACGATCACGACCAACGATCTCATCTACCGCAACCGCACCGTGGCCAACGTCACAACAACGATCACCGACATTGATGTGGCAGGCGTCGAGCTTTCGTCCACCGCGATCTTTGGCGCCGAAGGCAGCACCACTCCGATTGTGTATGGCGTTCGTCTCACCTCCAAACCGTGGTTTCCCGTGCTTCTCACGTTTAATGGCTCGCACAGCGGATGCGCTTTTGGCATCTGCAACATCACCGTCGTCACGCCGTCCATCGCATTTGACGGCTCCACTTGGTCATCGTGGCAAAACGTCTCTGTCGTTGTCACGGACGATTTCTTTGACGAAGGCGGACTCCACTCGGCTAACATCTCACATACGCTCACGTCACTCGATAGCGTGGTAGGTCATCGTGACACTTTTCGTCAGTCCCGTCATACGATGACGCTGTTGTAGTATGCAGCGGTTCGGCCGCCGCTGCTGACGGTGTGGATCACGGACAATGACGTTTCGGGGCTTGTGCTCTCGTCGACCAGGAACCTAACAGTGGCGCAAGGTAGCTTCAACGCGACAGTGTCACTCCAGCTTTCCAGTGCGCCATGGAGCAACGTGACCGTGCTGCTACAGATCCCAGCGGAAACCTTCTTGCCCCGGGGCTCGTTTACAGGTGCAACGGTCTCGGAGCCGCTCATCTTTGCGAGCAATTTCCGGAGCCAGACGATCGCGGCGCTGTCGTTTTCTCTGGCCAACTGGAATGTATCCCAGATCGTTGTGCTAACCGCGCTGCAGACGGGGTCGCCAAAGCCGCTCACCATGTATACATCGCTTGTAAGTCTGGCGACGTCCCTGGATCGTCGGTACAACGCGTCGGTGCCTGCCCCGTTGTATATTACAGTGCTCGGGAAGGAGGACGTTCCGCCGCCTGTGCCCCTCGCCGCGACCTTTGATGCGACGGGCGTCAAAATTTTCGTCACCTTTGACAGCAGCGTGTACCAGAACGCAACCATGACTGTGGATCTCAGTCAGCCGATGACCAACATTGCTGGACGCTACGTGCTACCAAGCCGACCGTTTGGGTGTGACCTCATCTGGAACTTGACGGTCGACACGTCGTACAGTCTTGGTGCTGGCGCCAACTGTCTCTGGCTCAATCTCACGACGCTGCAAATGGTGCTGGGCGCGGGGGCGTCGATCGCACCTGGCAACGTGCTCCAACTGAACGGGTGCGGCTCGCAATACGTCTCGACAGCCGGCGTTTGCAGCTCGCCGTTTGTGCTCAAATCCCGCGACTTTAACGTCTTGTTCACGACGGCATCGATTGCTGTCGCGCTCGGACCGGTCGTTGTGCCTCAAATTGTGCTCGTTGGACCCAAATCCATTGGTCCCTGTGGCGTTCTCTCGCTCGACGCGACCGGATCATCTGGTGGCGCCAACCGACCGTTTACCGTCCAGTGGTTTGCAATGTTGACCAGTGCACTCGACCCAGCGATCAGCAGCGACAACGTCTCCGCCGTGCACCAGCAAACGCAGCAAATATACGCCAACATTGCGTCGTACTGCACGACGAATGCAACGCTTTTGGTACGCAATATCATATTTCATGTTGTATCCAAGCGGTGGTGGTGTAGACCAACCCGTTTGGATCCGTCGCCGACCTCAACGCCATGTGCCGCTTGCGCGCGCTGGCGCTAGCGTCAGCGTCGCTGACGTGGCAAGTCAACCGATCGCTCTTGCTCTCGGGCCGCAACTACGTGGTCGGTGTTCGCTTGACCAACTTTTTTCAACAGGCAGGGCTCGCGTCGCAAGTCGTCGCGACGCTGAGCGACCCAGTTCCCGTGGTCTCGATCGTCGGCCCCAGCGTCATGAGCGTACAGCGGACACAAGCGATTTCGATTCAGGCAGCCATTGCGCCAACGACGTCGGGGTGCATGGCTGCCACAAGCGCCGTCAACTACGTATGGACAGCGACCGCTGTCGACGCCAGTACAAACGCTACCGTGCCGGTCCGACTTGCCAACACAGCAGTCGACCCGCGCTACTTTGTGCTGTCGCCGAATGCCTTGTCAACCAACTTGAACTACACGCTGCGCATCACGGCGTTCTATGCGTCAGCGCCGGCCGTCACAAGCGCCGACGTCGTCGTCATCAGTGTCCTTGCGAGCCCGCTTGTCGCGCAGTTTGCCGGTGGGAGCCACGTCGTCGGTGCCCTCGACCCCATTACGCTCAATGCTTCAACGTCGTACGATCCCGACCAAGCCGATCGGGTGTTGCAGTATGCGTGGAGCTGTCTCGATGTCACGCCCGTGCTCAACACAACGACAAATATGACGTCATCAAGCGGTGGTGTGTGCTGGAATCCGATGACGGATGCAGCTATCAGCTTTGTTGGCGTCAATGGACCCGTCGTGACGCTGCCACCGGGCTCGTTCGCCGCGCCCAAGATATTGCGCTTCACCGTCGTAGTCACTTTGGCGTGCAGCGTACGCAAACATGTTGATGTATACAAGTGCTTAGATATCCATGCGTAGGCGTCGGTGGCATGTGGCAGCCGGTCCGCGACGGCAAGTACAGACATTACGACCGTGTCGGGACGCATTCCTGTCGTTCGCATCAGCGCATCGTCGACTCTAGTCAACCCAACCTCCAAGGTGCATACAACGTGATGATCTGCGTCCAATCTGAGTGTGAGGTGTAGGTGGTGCTCACACCAAACATCTCTTCGCTCTACCCGTACACCACCCTTTGGCGTCAAGATGTGGGCGACTTGAACCTCGCCAGCGGCGGACTCCTTTTTCCGCTCAACGCGACGCAAAATGCGATCGCGCCAAGCGTGCTCACGCCTGGAAAGACCTACGTCTTTCGACTCACCGCGCTCGACTCGACAGGTAGCGCTGGCTTTGGCACGATCTCGATCACCGTCAACTCACCGCCAACGCCCGGTTCCATGAGCATCCTGCCGGCTCAAGGGTACGTACTACATGCCGTGCTGCAATACTAACGGTAGCCAAACTAGGATGGCGATTTCGGATCTCTTTACGGTGACGTGCGGGGATTGGACGGACGCCAACCTGCCGCTGACGTATGCGTTCGACTTGGTCGTGAATGGCTCGCGTGTACCGCTCGCATCTGGCTTGACGCTGCCCAGTACTCAAGTCCGCCTCTATCTCAGCGATGGCACCGAGTCCAACGCTACGGCATGAATGCAAGCGATGGAGGCGAGTGTCTCACTCTAAGTTCTAGGTGACAGTTATCGGTCGGGTCACCGACAGCCTTGGCGCCACGTCCACCATTTCCGCGACGGCGCTCGTGCTGCAACCAAAAGCGACCAACACGACGTCGTTCTGGTCGACAATCAGCAACGGCACGCTCAGCGACGCGATGCAAGGCGGCAACTTTAACGATGCACTCAACGTGCTCGTCTCCACGGCGGCCGTGCTCAAAACGCAGCAAGTGTCCGTGGGCGCCTGCAATGCCACGTCCTGCGGTGCCCACGGTACGTCTACCGATGTTATTTTAATGTATTGAACCGAACGTAGGCGTCTGCGACGGTACATGCGTCTGCGAGAAAGGGTACTCGGGTGCCGACTGTTCCATTGCCGACGCAGCGCTCAACACGCTCGCAATGCAGATGCTCGGGTCTCTTCAGTCCGTCGGTACCTCAGTGCAGCCAACGGCCACGACTTTGACCCAAAGTGCGCTCGCACTCAGCAGCATCGTGTCGCTGAATTCTCAAGCGACGTCAGTGGACGCATCCAATGTCAAGCAAGCGGCGGCCGTACTGACGTCCATCACCTCGTCCGCGATTACGCTCAAGGACCCGTCCTCTTTCGTGTCGTCGTCTGGGCCTAGTGTGCTATCGGCGACCGTGCTATTGGCCCAAAACACCAACAACACGGACGTGCGCAATGCAACGTCGGGACGACGCCTCGCTATCGGTGCGTGCTTTCTTGTGTAGTACGGAGGCTAAAGTAAGTTGTAGCAACGACCACGAGCTACACGCAGCTGCTCGAATCGCTTTTTACCGTTGTCGCCATCAGCAGTGCCGGCTTATTGCTTGGTCAGGCGCCGGTCGCTCTCACGTCGCCGTCGGCGGCCACCTACTCGGTCCTCGGCAACCTCTTGCCATTGCCGCTCGGTGCGCGTACGACGACCGTTGCACTGACACCGGTGACAGCCAACTGCTTTCTCGACACGTACTTTCTCGACGTCGTGGCGTGGACGACGCCGGTGCATGCGCGATCCTTGCCTACAGCAACGCCTGCGTTGCTTCCGTCGGTCGATATTGGGGTACACACGCTCACGGCGTATGCAGCGGCGCAGTTTCAAGGTACCTTGAGTGTTTCAAAAATGCTTACGAGCCTCGGGTGTAGGAAAACCGCTGAGCATGTCAACGCTGGACCAAACCGACGCGTGTGTGCTCTACCAGCAAAACCTTCTCAACACAGACATAAAGCTGCCACTGGTCAACGTGTCGTTTGCCCACGATGCGCTGACGACAGGTCCGCGCTTTGAGACGGCGTGCTTGTCCTGGAACGCCAGTATCGATGCGTACGATGCGTCGCTATGCACCAAAGTCCAGAGCTTGAGCTCTGCGACGACAACCACGTGCAGCTGCACACGCCTCGGTAGCCTTGAAGTCGTCGTTGTTATGCAAGAAGTGCTCAACTTTGAGCCGCTCAACCCGACCGTGTACCGTGACGACCCGACGTCGTTCGTGCCAGGAGTCTCGTTGGCGCTGCTTTTGGCCATGTACGCACTTGGCCTCCGGTGGGGCGTCAAGCGCGACGCCTCGGACAAGGAAGCACTCCGCCTCCAACGCCTTGGTAAGAATAAACAACATTGAAACAAGAAATGACAGTCCTCCGTAGGCAAACTCAGCAAAGCCACGTGGAACGACCTCTTGCGCGCCGAAAACGCCAAGAGCGTCGACGACATTGCGCCGACGCACCGCGAGTTTGCACCAGTGACGGACGCGTCGACGACGACCCATGCGTTTACTGCCACGTGGCACCCGACGACGGCGCCCGTAGCATTGGACCCTGTCGTGTCGGAAGAAGCTGTCGTCGATGCCGAGGCCGCGGCACTCGCGTCGATCGCTGTCATCACCGAAGGTACCTCCATCCGTCTGCTGATGCCAGTGTTGATTGCACGTACCTAGTGGCGCTCTTTGGCACGCTGCGGCTCCAGGCCCAGCATGTGCTCATCCGTCGCGCGCTGCAGGTGCTCAACCTCTTTCTCTTGCTTGTGGCGGCAGTCTTTCTTGCGATCGGCGTTGATTTCTACGCGTTTCTCGGCAATACGACAGCCAATCCGGTCGTTGCTGTCTTTGGACCGCCCGTGGGCCTCGGACTACTCGGCTTTGGCATTGCGCTCGTCGTCGTCGCTGCTGCAGGCTTGCTCGCTGCCGTTCGCAACACGTCTGCGCGGGCACGGATGCTGTACATAGTTCTTTTGCTGCTCGTGTTGGTCGCCGAAACGGTGCTGCTTGCGATTGCGTACAAGCATTTGGAGGACATCACCGACTTTCCTCGGTCGACGCTGTCGTTTCTGAAGACGCAGTGGGCCGCGCTGAGCGACGAGCTGCGCACGAGTTTGCAAAACGACCTCGGGTGCTGTGGGTTTACCGCCATCGACGATGCTCCGGCGCTGCCGTGCCCCGACGCGGCGCTTCTATCGCCAACGACAGTTTGTTTTGATGTCCTCACAGCGTCGGCAGTGACGCTCTTTGGCAACCTCTTTTCTGCGCTCGTCATTGTGCTCGGTGTGCAGGTCGCGGCGCTCGGCCTCGCCAACGTGCTCGTGCGCTGGGAAGCCATTCGTATCGAGACCATGGCCAACGGTACACTTCTAGTTGAAAGATTGACAGATGCTTCATCAGTGGGTTTGCTAGGTGTCGCGTCGAAAGCTACGCTGCTCGACGTTGTCTTGCGCTGCTCTCTGCCCGTGTGCAGCCACTTAAGCGTCTGTGCCATGGTGTTTGGTGTCGTCGCGGGCCTCGACATGCTTCTCCAGTGGGACCTCTTTGCGTTAGCGTCAATCACGATCTTTGTGCGGCAAGAACTGGGCATTCCCATCACCGTCCTTGCCGCCCTCTACATTGGTACACACTTCGAATCCCAATAGGTTCTGATTTGAAGCGGTGTAGTTTTGCATGTGTATGGCGCCCCCGCGATTGCGCATCTCCACCGCCGCCGCATGAAGCGCTACGTGGCGTGCCACGTTGTCTTGCTCGTCGTCGGCGTTGCACTCGTGATTGTCTTGGCGACCGTCAGTGACAACCTCGGCGCGTACTCGAACTTGCAATCGATTCTACAAACACGCTACCTCGGTCTCCCGGCGCAAAGCAAGCTCGAGCTCGAGACCAACTTGGGCTGCTGCGGCTTCAACGCGACGAGCCAGGGCGCATGCGTGACGCCGACGACAGCGCCGCTCTGCGCCGAGCCGCTCACCTTTGCGATCCGCCAGTTTGCAACCGTCATGCAGGCACGCCTATCGAGCTACCTCGTCTCGCAGTTTTGCCTCGTCTTCTTGACGGGCCTCTTTCTCACAATGCAAGCCGATGCGCCTGTTAATGTGGCCGCGTCGCCCAGCACTTCGAGCGCCAACGAGTTTACAGATGCCGCCAACCTACTTCTCCAGCGCATTTGCACGCAATTTGTACTGTTTGCGAGTCTGGTCGTGGCGTTTTGCGGCGCGATCCTCGTCGGCGTCGGCGTCGACGTCCTGCTTGAAACCAATATCGTTGCAATCGCGGCCGTGCTCACGGCCTTTAGCTACTACATTGGCACGTACGTCTGCCTTCTCGGGCTTCTTCTCTGCGCCGGGAGTGGTCTCGGACTCTACGCGGGGCTCTCGCATGCCCGGCGCTGGCTCTGGCGGTTTGGTGCGCTTCTACTGAGTGCGTGCGTTGCATGCCTCGCGCTCTTTGCGACGGCGTACCGCGTCCAAAACCCAGTGGCCGCCGGCAACGTCAATGCTACCATGTACCGGACGTGGCAGAGCTTTGTGCCCGCGACGCGCAAGCTCATTCAGGACGCCTACAGCTGCTGCGGGTACACAAAGCTCGGTGCATCGACGTTTTCGCTCCCATACACCGTCTCCGAGTGGCACACGGACCCGGTGACGGGCGGAACGACGACAACGACGACGACGTCGTGCCCGGGCAGCGCCACCGACGGCTGCGGTCCGCACATGCTTCAGACGCTCCAAAATACCGCGCGCGCCGGTGTCTCGGGAACGGTGTTTTTGGCCACGGTGCTCTTTCTTTTGTTTGTCGCGACCACAGTCCTCTACTACCGCCAGGGCCGGAAGCGCGCGGTGACGTGGCGCGTTCTTGCGCTTCAGTTTGTCTTTTTGGTTGTGGCGACCGGTGTCGGTCTCGCGCTCCTCGGGCTGGCGCTTCTGGGCATTGACGTGGCTGCTGGTACGACCGTGTTTTCGTCGAGCGTCGTGCAGGTGCTCTTCGGCGCCCGTATTGGCGGCGCACTCGTTGCGTCCGTCACGATCGGTCTGGCGTTGACGTCGTACGGAGTCTACGGCGCCATCAACAAGACGCTGCACATCTTTGTCGTGTACCTGGGTCTGACACTTGCGCTTGGCACGGTTGCGTGGAGCTGCACCGGCGTCGTCGCCACGTGGACGGTCAATGCACAGTGGCAAAACACTTTGGATGCCTACTTGGACACGATTTGGTCCAGTCTGAGCCCCGATGATTGGCTCTTCCTTGGGTCGAGCCGCAACTGCTGCGGCTATCACGATCCCGTGCTTCTGCCATCGGGAAAACTGCAATTCGATCGCGCCATCTCGTCGGGGACGAACCTGGCGTGTCCGCCGCTCGCGATAACTGGGTGTCGAACACCGTTACTTTTGGACGCCTCGTCGCTTCTCAACCAGCTCTACAAGCTGCTCGCGGCGTACGCGACGCTGCAGACGCTTCTCTGGCTCGTTGGCGCCGCACTCCTCCACGGCCTCGTACTCTTGCACCCGGGAACGTGGGTCGCGCTTCGAAAGAAGATGCGGCTTTGGGTCGCCAAGTACAAGGACGATGTGACGACGACACACCTCGTCGTCTCGCTCTACTACGCCTACGACGCAAAGTTCACGCGGGGTCAGCGCCTTACGTGCGTCCTCTGTGCCGTCGCTGCGGTCGCTGTCGTGGATGCGGCTGTGTCGAGCCGCCTCGGATGCACCCGCAACGGCCCCGTCCAATGCGAGTCCTTTACGGGTGGCGAGCTCGTACGTCTTAGCGCCATAGCATTTCGTATGCCCATTGATGTGTCATTAGATGGGCTACGGACTTCTCTACTCGGTCGTGAGTCTCTCGGTGCAGCTGTGCTTTGCAGCACTCTTTCGGCACGTCAAGCATCGGCAGGACGACGACGACGGCGCCAAAGTCGCCGAGCGTCGACGCAAGGAAAAAGTGTACCTTCGCGAGGTCCTGCACCACAGCATCCAGGCGATTGCCGCCAAGCTCGGTCAGTTTGCAATGGCGACGTCCGAAGAGCGTTTCTACAGGTACAAAGTGAACATTCTCACGTTGCGCGAAACGAACGCGCTCGATTGGTCTAGCTGGCTCGCGGGCCACGTGACGAGGATGACCTTGGTGCTCAGTTGGCTTCGCGTGCTTTTGGCGGTTGCCATTGGTTGAATCTTCATTGGTGCGCCGCCATTTCTAAAGGTGTTTGCGTAGGTGTGTACATGGGCCTGAGTCAGCTCGGGCTAGGGTTTTTCATCTACAATGTTTCTGTCCCGGGCACCTTGGGCTTTGCGGCTGTGCCGGCGACGCTCGTGGCAACGACGTTGGTGGTCGCTTTGAGTGGGCTTTTGAAGCGGCGCAAGCGCTTCACGCGCCATGCGTACGTCATGTACCTCGTCGCGGCGGGTGCCAGTCTCCTCCTCATTGGCTTTCTTGCGACCGTCATTTTCATGATCGTGCAAGCCATGGAAGAACCGACCGAGCCGCCCAATTGGACCCAGCGCAACGCGGTCTCGCAGCAACGCGTGTTGACATGGTCCTCACATATGAGTGTATGATATAGAACTTTAGCGTTGTTGCCAGCATCAAGAGTACCTGGCTCAACGACACCATTGGGTACAACCGACGGATTTGGCAGGCGCAGCTGCGCTGCTGTGGCCTTCCCGAGTTTCCGCTGCGACCGTGTCCCATGGGCACGACCGAGCTCCAGAACGTCACGGCGCAGCGCGTCGACGGCTCGACAGTGGTCAAGACCGTCACGATTGTGCACGACCTCGGCGGGTGCCTCAACCCTATCCTCGCACAGATCCAGGGCGTCGCGCAGACCATCATTGGTCTTTTGATTGCCTTGGCGTACGCTCTTCTGCCTCCATGTTTGACGTTGAAGCGACATTGTTCATAGGGTCTTGGAGCTCTTTTACGCCGCGTGCGCCTACTTTTTAGCCCGCGATCTCGTCATCTCGTGGGACTCGCAGCTGCGTCGGGCCTCCATGCAGCCCAAGCTCGAGAGCAATGCAGCTCCCCTCCTGCACGACGAAGCGCCTGCGTCCAAGACCGCGCCACCGCAGCGCGGTCGGATGCTTTCCAACCTCGTGCAAACGAGCATCAACAATGTGAGCAAATCCGTTGCGCAGCTCCTGTCCAAGACGAATGCGTCGCCTGCAACGCGGCCAAAACCTTCGTCGGCGGCGCGCCTCGCACTGCTCAAACTCCAGCTGCGACTGCGGTACCCTGCGTGGATTCCGCGCCTTATTTTCGGTCTCGCGCTCCTCTTTGTCGGTGGTGCCTTTGCTGGCACGATCTTATTATGCCTTGCTCTGGCCAATGACGGTGCGTGGCTCTGGCTCGGCGCGGCGCTCATCTCCCTCTTCCTGCACCTTGTTGTCGTCGAACCGAGCGTGCTCTTTGCGTATGTTGTGTCGCAGACACTCTCGACGTGGTGGAAGTCGTCGTGGGTGGCGGTGCTCATTGGCGTCGGCCGCGCCATCTTGCACCTCGACGACGCAACGGGCTCGGACGCGCAGACGGCCGCGCTGCTGGACCCGTTCACGCGCATTCGGCACAACGCGGCAGTCGTCATCCAGCGTCGGTGGGTCGCCAAGCTCTGTCGTATGCGGTACCTCATCATTCTGCGGGTGGCGCGTGAGAACGAGCACAAGTCGTCGATCGAGGCGCGGCTCCGAACCATCAAAGCAGCCGTCAGCAGCTTTACGCGCGAAGAGACCGAGGCGTTCGCAATGCTCTTCCGCGATGCCGACTACGCCAAGACAGGCCTCGTGTCCTACAAGGTACACTGACTCTGCTTTGCGATATATGTCGACGTGATGTCCGTAGGTGGTGTCGCACGCGGTACACGCCCTCGGTGTGCAAGTGCCTGCGGCTGTCGTCAAGGAATACCTCGTGAGCTTGGACCCAGGGTTTGTGGAGCTCATTGACATCGACTACTTCTTGTTCGCCATGTCGTGCATTCGAGGGTATCACCAGGCGCAGCAAGAAGCGCATGCGACGGAAGACGTGATTGTGATTCCGCACGCGTCGTCGCCGGAAGCCAAATTCCAAGTCAAGCGCCAAAACATTTTGCGGGAGCTCAAGGATAAACGCGAGTCGGTCTCCAAGCATCTCATGACAAAGGTCCGCTTTGCATTTTTCTTTGGCTGACAAGTCGATAGGTCGGAAAACTCGCGGCGCAGCTGCACAAGCACGGCGAGTCCCCCAAAGAAGATCAAGACCCGAAACCCTCTGGCGCGTACATTTTGCTCAGCTCGAAAAAAGGCACTCGACCGACCAGCGCGTCGCCACGAGGACCAGCCCCGGCAACAGCAGCCGCGCCCGAGGCCGTTCAGGAGCGCAGTGCGGAAGCCGTCGTCGCACGACCCGACACGCGAGGCCAACTTTCGGTGCGCGCTACCAAAGACATTGAAAAGGCGATGAAGGCCCTAAAGAACAAGCAAGATGGTAAAAAGCACCGCAAGTAGACTTTAATCTGCATGTAAATACGATCTATGTACATGTATATTTGTTCTCTCAACACATAACAATAGTCCTCTCCAGTGCGCTACCGCGGTGCCACTGACGCATCTGTATGAGCTGATGCAATACTTGGTCTATGGTGAGGTGCAGACTTGTTGATTCGGCAAGCCGAGAAGTTGCTGTCCTTGTATTTAATTTAGTTTACAACACGAGGTTGTGCATATGGTACTCCAACATGGGGGCGTCGTCGACGAGGCTGTCGGCATCTTCGCTCGTCGCAGCATGAATCTACCCACACGCAATCAGCCAAAGTCAACCACGTAGCGTACCCATGGAAGGACCGCAAAGAGGTGGTCGAGGCTCTCTTGGAACCCAATGGCTTCGTTAAAGTGCACGACCGACTTGTGCAACGAGAGCGAGTACGAGTGCGCGAGGCGGAAAAAGTTGGGTGAAAATAGCACCGGCACAAT